GATTTGTTCTAAGATTATATTCTCAGTTGTTTTATATAAGGAAGGACTTACTCTGTTAGGATTTAAAATATTTTGATGTGGTAATAATTTTGATTGAGTTCTAATTAGAGTTGATAATGGTATGTAAGTATTTTAATCTCAATTTTAGAATTTATAATGTTTTGATAAACTTTGTTGTAAATAAAGAATTAAGGTGTATTTGTAATAATTAGTAAGTTAATGATTCTACTTGTAATTTAAATCCAACTTTGAATTAGAAATTTAATTAATTGCAATGAGGTGTTGTTTATGTTTTAAACTTATGTAACATGAATCAAGTTAATTGTTTAAATGTAATTTCAGTCTCTACTTTAATTAGAAATTTAAATTGTAAAGATAAATTTTCATCTCAATTATGAATGAAATCAATGTGATTTTACTTGCAATTGTGTAATGAATGAAACATATATATAAAATTTTAAAATTTTACTGACTTATATTATTCTAAGATTTATATAAATATAAACTTTTTTTTAATTCATTTATAATCTTTACCTATTTTAATTAAGTTTTATTAAAAATTATTTATGAAATAAAAGAAAGCAATCAATTATTTAAGAGCGTTGCAATTTTTATCGAGTATTGATGAAAACCATGATGATCAAAATGAGTAGCATGTCTTTTAAATAATGTATATAATTGTAAATAGGTTATCAATATCTTATCTTAAAAATCATGTTTTAAGTTATGATGTTTTAATTAGATAAGAACTTATAGAGATGTACAACGTAATGAGAATTTTGAATACTAAATAAAAAAAGTTGTAAAGGATGTCTCAAGTCGCATTATCACCTCTCAATCATATACATTGTTGTTTTATGTTTTTTTTTTTCTCAAAGCTCACTATTAGAAAAGAAATAAAAAGGAATTTGAACATTTTTTATTTAAGGTTGTTAAAGCAAAAATAAATTCCTAAAAGACTAAAGGTCTAATTAGATTTTAATGATTGAAAAATTTTTACATTAAAATGAATTTTATTTTGTTTTAAAATGATTATGTTTAAGTATTTTCTACAAGACCATTAAACAAATAAACAATTTAAAAGAATAAATGAGCATAGATAAAATCTCACTATTTTAAAATATACATAGTATGTTAAAATATCAATAATATAAAACAAAAATAATAAAGATACAAGCAGTTGACAAAAAAAGTAAAACTCTTATAAAAAAAAGCAAAGTTACTTGTGGAAAAAGAAAGTGTGTGTTAGTTGCAAAAGAAAAAAATAGTAAAAAGAAAAGAAATAAGGGTTACATTTGAACGAAAGAAAAGAGGAGTAAAGAAAGTGAAAATATAAAAATCATTACTCCAAAAGCTTCATTTATAAACCTAGGGGATATTTGTGATTATTTTAATTAAATTAACCTTTGTGTATCCTTTTCCTTCATTTATTTCACCTTAATTATTATAACCTTTTGGCCACATTATAACCTGTAAAAAACCTCATGATTTTTAATTGCATTCAATTGACTCAGTGGAAAGTTGATTTATGGTTAAGCCTATGGTAGTGTATTTCTTCCTAGAGGGACTGAGTGTTCTCTATTTTTGTCTTTATACACTAAAAGAGAGAGACGAAAGTAGAGTATCACAGTTTAATGATTAGACAAGAAGATAAAGAATATAAAAATTTTAAATACCTTTTGATTACTTAAACTCAGTGATATTACTCTTGTGTTCTTTGTATCTCTATTATTTTGAGTTTCTTGTTTTAATGATATGTTTCAAATTGTTCCTTATTCTTTAGCCAGGACTTTTGCTTAAGGGCAATCACATCTTAAGTATGAGGGGTTAATAAGTCCATATTTTGATATATTTTATGACATATATATATATATATATACTAATTATGCTATTAATTGTTGCAGTTTAGCTGGAAGTTGATATTAGTGTATTATGGAGATACTTTGGATAAAAATAAGATAATTTTAGCCCTTGGTCGTGCTATATGAATTTGAGTTTGAATTTTGAATTTCAAATTTAAACTTATATATAAAAATTTGAAGAGGTTTTTAGTTAAGATTAAAACTGATTCAAAAAAATAACAACTCAACTGACCAGGCACATCTTATATAAAGAGGCTTTATGCTCCACACTTGACACACTTCTCTACTTCATTCTACACTTTTCCACTTCATTCAATACATCATCTTCCCTTTCTTAGTTCTGACTCACTTCACCGTTAAGAGTTATTGGAGATCATTGGCAAAGACAATAAACTCCTTCGAAGTTGGGGCGAGTGATTGAGCACCTCGTTGGAGAACAAAAACTCTTTTCATCTTTTTTCCTTTTGAATTTTTCTTGTTTGTATTCTCCTTTGTGTTTTATGGATTGGTTCATTATGTTTTTCATTATGAGTAACTAAATCCATAACTATGGCTATAGGAGATCCTATTACATACCTTATGTGATTTTTACTTTTACTATCGGTTTTGGTTTTCCTTTAATGTTTGGCTTTTATCATGTTGAATAATATTGTGCATGTTAAGAATTGATCACCCTTAGCATATCATAATTAATTGCATCGTAGGCGATCGTATCACTTGTAATTAATGAAACTATATGATAAAGCGAGATAAAGGGTTAGGTTAATCACATTTAATTCCTCTCTTCCAACCGTTATTGAATTAACAAACTCATAGGATCTTTATGATTTCTCAACCATTTGCCTTGTATGATCATTGGGGGTGATTACTGATCAGGAAAAAGAATATTAACATTGCATAATCATTAAGTGTTAATAGAACTAGTACGAGTGGTTGGCAAATATTCAAATACCAATACTTTGGTTAAAATAATTAGAATATAAAGAAGTGTAATAGGTGAAACCATAAGTCCTAAACTCATTTCATTTGATTTCTCTCATATGTTGCATTATTGTTCTCTTCAATTAATTATTAACAATTAGTCTTGTTTTTTTAATCTATCATACTCCCTTTGCGTTTAAACAATCGAATCAAGGTATTATTGGTATTTGAAAATAATCTTTGTGGAACGATAAATTGAGAACTCTTTTTTGAAAACTCTTTTATTACTTTTTGATGGGTATACTTGCCCATAAATAGGTACATTAATTTATAAAAGGTAAAAACATATTTCTACCCTTCTCTTACATTTTGCACCAAAATAGAAAAAGAAAACAAAAGAGTTAAGAACAAAAAACACATTTGGCTCAACAAAAGGACTTGTTCTTATTATAAGAATTTTCAAAAAAGAAGTTTGTTAAGCCTAATAGATAAATGAATGTGTCTAACATAAACTTTTATCTTTGGGCTATTTAATGAAGACTCATAACTATGTAAAAGATAAGAGAGTTTGTCATATATAAATCTCAAACTATCAAAAAATCAATATCTTTCTTATTTTCTATTTAAAAGGCAAAATGCTTATGAATGTATAAAAAAGTTAAAAAAGTGTAAGAAATACCTCAAAGTGTGATTCTTGAAAAGGTATTTGTAAAAAGAATATTTAAGCCTAGAAAAAAGACTTGTGCAATAATATTTTAGACTATAAACTATAGTTCGCAATTTCGTAAAATCTTCATCAAGGTGAAGAACTATATATAGTTCCTTTTTTTTTTAATTAGTATAAATTGCTAAATATTTTTATTATTATTTTTCTTCTTGATACAATTACTTTTTTTCTCAATTAAACTAAACCTTTTTATTACTTTTTAAAAATTTACCTATTTTTAAAGTTTAAGAAAAAATTATTCAAAAAAATATATTCAACTTTCATTTTTTTTTAATCTAAAACTTCAAGAGTTAAAAAATTAAATTATTTGATAAAGTAAGGATATTTAAGACAAATTTAATTGATTAAAAATTCTTTAAATAGTAATTTGATTGATTACAAATTCTATACGAACAAATTTGGTTGACACCTAATTTCACTACTTAGAAATTATTTAGGAACCAAATTGATGGATTTCGATATTAGGAATTCTATTGGTGATCGAATTTTAAATGTTGAGAGTTAATATGTTATATTAATTAGTTTATAAATTATTTTGAAGGAATCATTTTGAATTGTACTTGAAATAATAAATACTAAAATGATTACTTTCTTGAATTAATTTTTTTAATAAAAACTTAGATAGGCATAACCTCAGAATATTCATTAATTTCCTTAATTACTATGTCTTCTCTTTATATATATATATATATAGGAGCAAGATTTTCTTACATTAGTGTAAGTCTAAAAACTTTTACATTTAATTTAATCTGAATATTTTATTTAACTTAAATCTAACGAGTTATAATTTATTATTTTACTGATTATTAGATTTAAGTTAAATGAAATATTCAAATTGGGTGTAAGAGTTTTTAGACTTATACTGGTATAAGAAGATCCTTCCCTATATATATATATATATTTTCTTACGTCGGTGTAAGTCTAAAAACTCTTACATTTAATTTAAACTTTTCATTTAACTTACATCTAACGGGTTATAATTTATTACTGAAAAAAAATAAAAAATTTAAACTGAGTGTAAAAATTTTTAAACTTATACTTGTATATATATATATATATTACTTCTCTTGTTGCATATTGGGAAGAGTTTATCTACATTTCTTCCCAAGCTAAACCCACATCTAGTTGACGCATCCTATTTTCTATTCCACTTCTACTTCACATTTGAGTATATCAACGTTTGAGAAGCTCTTAATTTGAGTCACTAAATTCAATATTTTTACACTATCATCACTCTCAACATCTCCCCACCATTAACATCATATTCCTTCTCACCATGTTATTATTAAAATTAATAGTAAATTTTATTAAAAATTTATGATATGTTTATTTTTATTAAATCATACATTAAAAAAATTGTATTACATATAATTACTTTATATCTCCTACTTAATATATATACTAAAAAAAATGCTAAAACTGCCCCTAATATTATCCAAAAATAATTTTCCATTGTCATGTTTATTTGGGTGGATTTCCTTTCAAATGGTAATAAACACGTTCTTTGTAGCATTTGAGTAATCCGCTGAAAGAGGAACAGTGGGAATTGTAATTAGCAAGCTGCTGACTGTTGTGTTGTTGGGGGGGTTTCTTTCACGAACTCCTCATATCTCTCATTCATTCTCACACTCGCAAGCTAAACCCACTCCACTCCGATCCGATCCGATCGAATCCAATCCGATCCGCTTTGAGTAGCAATGGAAGAGTACCCGGAAGAGCTGCGCACTCCGCCGGTAACACTGGCATCCATCGTAGGGTGTTCGGAGCTGCACCCTCTGATTTCGACCCACCTCCTATCAATGCAACCTCCCATCAACACCCTCGCCCTCCCCGATTTCTCCAAAATCAATCTCTTCCTCAAACAAAAAGACTCTGATTTCGTTGCCACATCACCCTCTCCCTCACCCCTCGTTCGCGGCATCTTCAAACGCGATTGGTTAACCAAACACCGCACCAAACTCCCTTCTGTCCTCGTCGCTCTCTTCCCCTCCCACCACCTCCTCGCCGACCCCTCTCACTGGCTCCAACTCTGTTCCCATCTCGATTCCATCAAGTAACTCTCTCTCTCTTTCTACCCCTCTCCCTCTCACTTTTCAATAATTATGAATATGTTTACAACAATCGCTGTTCCTTTTTAGAACTGTCATTCGCGGGAGGAACATCAAGTTCGCTGTTGTCGTCGTTCACGCCAATGCCGATGAGATCAGCGAAGATAGAATGATTGCCTTGAGGAAGCGAGCGGAACTAGATGCTAAATACGTTCTCGTTTTGAATCCCAACGACAGTTCCGAACTCAAGCAGTCTCTTGACAGGCATGCGCTTTTCTTCTTCCTTTTTTTTTTTTTTTAAACTGTGTTGGTTAAGCAACGACGCTGTCGTTTATCGCTATTCTCGTTTTTGGGTGCAGGCTATCGAGTATGTTTTCTGAATTGGCTGGCTCGTATTATAGAGATGAAGGGAGAAGGATTAAGCAGCGGATAGAAAAGAAGAATGTTAACTCCGTTGAGTTGATTGTTCGCTACTGTTTCAAAGTAAGAATTCTATTTTTTATTTTTTATTTTCTCTTCGTCTTTCTTTACGCCTAAAAAAGAAAGAAAGAAAGAAAGAAAGAAAAAGAGTAGTGGGAAAGCGGAATTAGAGCGGTCGTGTTCTGATCGAATTTTTTCTTTGAACCTGTGTCAGTTTGGATTGTTTATATTTTTATCATAATAAAAATTGTGCATTATTTATCTAGATGCTATGAATTGCTAGGTTGCTGTATATGCAGAATTCCGAAGTGACTGGGCTGAAGCGTTGAAATTTTATGAGGAGGCATATCATACGCTGCGAGAGGTGGGTGTGGTTATTATTAGTTTTTGTTATTTCTTTATCTAGTTTTGTTTCACCATTGATGATATATTGTTAGTGTGAAAATGCTATTGTTGGTGTTATATGTATGTCCCTTCTCCATCTACTGTTTGCTTGGTTGAGTCAACTATCAAAAGAAAACTTATCATTGACCTTAATATTATGCTCTTACAAATAAGAGCCTTGTAGGGGGCAATTTTTCACATCCTCATAGCGCATTTGTAGGAACTGATTTTATACATATGTTTAACAGAGGTGATTTCTATTTGAATTTTTGTTAATTGTCTTAGACTCGAGAAATTTTATATTGTTTCTCCTATGATTTCCACAGTGATTGAACAAAGTTGCATTGTGTTCAAATTTGTGTTTGTGTGGCTATTAGATCTCTGTCCAAAAAACCAAGTTTTGTAACATGCATTTTCTGTTTGTCTTACACTACAGATTGTTGGGGTGACAACAAGGTTGCCAGCAGTACAACGCCTAATTGAGATAAAATCTATTTCTGAACAATTGCATTTCAAGATATCAACCTTGTTATTGCACAGTGGGAAGGTTACAGAAGCAGTGACATGGTTCCGTCAGCACAAGAATGCATATAAAAGGCTTGTCGGTGCACCAGAAGCAATATTTCTTCACTGGGAGTGGATGAGTAGGCAGTTTTTGGTATTTGGTGAATTGTTGGAGACAAGTTCAAAAATAACTCAAGGCTTTTTACCACTTATTCTGGGCACTTCATCCAAACCTTTGTCTGAGTGGGAATATTATCCACCTTATTACTACCAAGTGAGCACCCATCTTTAACTATCTTACTTGTGTTATACTGTGCATGTGGAGAAGGGGAAATGACTACACTTTTATTGTTGAATAACATAGCCTATAAGTATCGAGATTTCAATTCTGCTTTGGAAAACTTTTTGTAAATAAAATATCCTAAAGTAAAAGTTGTGCATGATGGCAGTGTTGGAATAATGATACTAAATTACATTGATGGTTTTGAGATGATTGGTTTAAATGTATTAAACCACGTGGAGAAATGTGTAGCCTTTTATTTGAAAGGAAGGTAGAAGTGGGCATTGGAAATACCTTGATGATATCTAATAAGAATTTATTAGACTCAACTAAAAGGTCAAATTAATATTTTGATTAATCAAATTATCCATTGAAAAGCCAATGTTATCTTCGTAACAACATTTCGATAGAGTAATAGTTCTATTGTTATTATGGAACAGATTGAAATTCCTCTCTGCAAATCTCTTTGGTGAGTACAGTCTTGTCTTCATAATTTACATAAGCACGTAGCTAATGTAATAAGTAATTGACTTTTTAGATGATGTATAGTTATATATGTCTAGTTTTGTGTTACCAAACATCAATGAATCCGTTTGATTAGAGCATCTATATTGGACTTCATATGTACTTGGAAACAACACCGACAATCAAGCCTTCTCTTACTAAGCCATTTTAATGTGTCAAATGATGTCATTATGCTCTATCAAAAACCAAAATTCAGAATATCCATTTGGGCAGGTTGGCCCGTTTTGCCACCCCTAGTACTGTTCAGTGCTTTATCCTAAAGTTTTTATTGGAAGTAGACTGAGCTTGACTCACCTCCAAAAGGGGGGAGTATTGCAAGGTCTTATAAAGATTATTCTAGTAATATTCCTAACTAACTGATGCAAGATGTTTTAACACACACTTTCATTCCTAAGATTGGACGTCTAAAGCATGAAGTTTGTAGGATTACACATTTTTGGGTGGTCCAACATTAACAAGGTTAGATAGACTTTAATACCATGTTAAAAATAGATTGAGCCTTACCTCCAAAAGAGCTCAAAGGGAGAGGAATGTCCAAATCTTTTTAAGGGTGTTTTGGCCAGCTTCCTAACCAATGTCGGAAATTTTAAGTCTTCCTCTCTTTAGTTAACGTGTCTTTCTATTTGATTTGCTTTTCTTTTTGGAGCCTTTGTCGTTCTTCTCCTCACATTGGCCAAGTCACCTTAAGCTAGTTTCTATGATCTTCTCAATAGCTGCTATATCCTACTTTCTCGTAACACATGCCCTCTCCACTGCTATAGTCTAATTTCTGCTGCACTTGTCATTTAGATCTACTCTAGAACGACAATCTATTTTCCTCAAAGTTCTGTAGCCTTTTAAGTTACCTGACTTCACTTGGCAGTGATTACTGATTGCACCCTAGGAAAGACGCTGCCAAGCCATATGAGTTGAAAACATTTATCTAATCACCTTGTGTATTTTATCCTGCTCTGATTTTGTATTCTTGAGTAATGGTATTAAATGAGTGCGAGCCTTGACACAACGGTAAGTTGCAACATTGTGGTATGGCAGTCAGTGGAATCTAGGAACTAGTCTCTCTGTTTGTGGTTGTAAGGCTCCGTACATCTCTACCCTTCCCAAACCCCACTTGGTGCAAGTCTTGTGCACTGGGTTGGCCTTTTTAATCATGGTGTTAAATCATTTGGAAGTTAAATTTCTAAACAATCAGTTGACATGAATGCTTCAAGCTCAGTCAATCTTGATGCTTCAGGGCTTGTTTTGACAGAGAATTATATTAGCTTCAATACACCTTTGCATGCCTCCTTTCATTCAGTTGATATCTTATAGTTATTATTATACTTGCTTTTTGGTATATTCCTCACTGTGATTTAGGTCTCTATCAATGCTCCATTTATTTATTACTCATACTTCATGGTTTAATTTTATGGGTATATTTAGCTGAAAAAATGGGAGGGGAAGGATATGTTGTAATGTACCCATCCCAAAATAAGGGGGAGGGAAATGAGGGATCATATCATAATTAACCCTCCAAAATAATCAACACCCTCATTTTTTAGTTCCCCCCAATTATGGGGATGTTGGAAAGGAAACAAGGTACTATTATAGCCTTTTTAATAGTTCTAATATTATTGTTGTTAAGCTATCCCACATTAGCTATTAATAGAGACAAAATACTCCTCATAAAGGCTTGGGCAATCCCCTTCCTATGAGCTAGTTTTTTAGAGGGAGTTAGGGTCAAGTTTTTTAACATGGTATTACAGCTTATTCAATTTGAATGTTGGGCTGCCTACTAATCTTCAGTCTTGTTGGGCCACTCGCAGATTTTTAGTCCTAGGTATGAAAGGGGAGGGGGGAGAGTGTTAATTTGTCCCACATTAGCTATGAATAGAGCCAAAATACTGCTTATAAGGGTTAGAGTAGTCCTTTTTTAGCGAGCTAGCTTTTGAAAGTGTGTTAGGTCTAAGTTTCTTAACAATTACCAAAACCAAGCCTTATCTCACTAGGTGAGATCGGTTATATGGATCGCACGATGCCATTTAGTTCGGTCAAAAATCAAATATTTAGAAACCTGGTTAATCAAAAGGTCTTTTTTAATAACTTCGTCTAAGGTTCTTTTTGGTCTCCCTCAACCTCTCTTTACCAAACTGAGTCATGCAGTCCACTCTCCTTACTGACGCTTCTAAAGGTCTTCTCTACACATAACAAAACCACTTTAAACGATTTCCAATCATCTTTTTCATTATTGGTGTTACTTTAATATTCGTTCATATACTATCATTTTGTATCCTGTCTTTTTTTGTGTGTCTACTCATCCACCTTAATATTCTCATTTTTGCCACTCTTACTTTTTTTTCATGATGTTCCTTTAAGGCTTAACATTCACTATCATATAGGATAGATAGTCGTATTGTAATACACGAAAACTTTCTTTTCAACTTGATAGGTACTTTACGATCACAAATAACTCTTGATGTTTTTCCCCGTTTTAACCACTCAGCTTATATTTTGTTATTAACATCATTAATTTTCTCATCATTTTGTATAATCAATCCCAAGTACTTGAAACTGGAAATTTATGGTATAATATCCTCTCCAAGCTTAACTCTCAACGCTTAATCCTCATATTTTTTTTTTTTTGCTAACCTAACCTACAATCAATGTTGTTAAATTGGTGGCGATTTTTAACATCGCCGTTACAGCATTGCTGTTTTTTGGTGGCGGTGGCATGGCAGCCGTTACGCGCATGGCGGTAATGGCAGTCATGGTAAAAATTGTTGAAAATTGCAGTTTCGATGGGTTGGGCTGCGAACCCGACCCGATCTAGAGGTTGACCCGTGCCCAAAAACCCTAAGGTTACCTCTCTTCTGCCCTCTTTTTGTGAGTCAAAAACATTTCCCTTTCATCTCCGATCTCTCTCTCTCCTTGAATCTTGTTCTGCATTTTGCATGGGGTGTCTCTCTTCGTCGCTATTGTGCCACTGGAGCAGCGGTCGGCCACATGATGCTCTTGCTGTGGTGAAGTATTTATTTATTCACAGAAGTTAAGTCCTAATTATACAGTGTCTTGGTGTGGGTGTGCACTTTTGAAGTGTAATGGAGAGAGGGAGCGAAAGTCTGATCTTGCCCTTGCTATAGTGTTGTTTAGGGTTTTTTTTAAGGGCAAAATGGACTTTTTCCACTTAAAACTTTTTCCTTCTCTTTTCAGGCAATTAAATTTTTAGGGTTCTCTCTGCTCTGTTTTTCTTCCTTCTTCTCTAAAGCCAACTTCTCCTTTATCTCCTTCACCATTTTCTCTGGAGAAGACATCCTTTCCGGCAGTTTTCCGGCAACTGTGAGTGGAAGGCCCTATTTTTCTACATCCATTTTCCATTTTGTTTCTCTGGCCTCTGTTCCTCTCTTTCAGTTTTTCCCTCTCCTATTATCCTTTTTTTCAATTCTGTTTTTCCCTCTCCCATTCTATTCTGTTTTACTCCCCCATTTTTTTTATTTTTCCTTATTGTTTTATTTTCTTGATTCTATTTTTCTGTTTTCACTTCCAAGTTTCCTTCTCCATGTATTTTTAATTCTCTACTTTTCTGTTATAACTTCAGCTTTTTTTTTCCACTATTTTACAACCATTTTATTCTTTTTTTCTCAAAACCTTCCTTCTTTTATATGTTGTTAGTTTTCTAGTTTGATATCACATTTTGCAATATATATATTATGACTGCCATACTTTCGCCATAATCTGCCATAATTTTATGGCAGTTTTTTTTGCTTTCCCCCATGACCCACCATCTGCCATTGATAACATTGCCTATAATGCATATACTTTGTCTTACTTCTGCTCAAGCGAAAACTGAAATTCTAAAGTTTCCCTCCATAACTCATATTTAACATTAACCTTTTCTTTTGAATCATCGACTAACACTATATCATCTACAAATAGCATGTACCGAGAAAATATTTTGTATGTCATTTGTAAGCACGTTTAAGATTAAACAAGTTTCTTAACAATTGCAATAGAGAATTTCAATATTAGTTTATTAATAAATAGATAAACTAATAAAATGTATTATAATTAATCTCCTTTTAACTCAAACATAAAAACAAGGAAATTGCCATTTTGCCACACTGTATTTCTGATCCTAGGGAGCTTTAGAACTTGTGAATCCACAATCACTTAAATTATATTTATCCCAAGAAAGCTGAAATCAGGATTAATGATCCAATGGACCTAAAGTGTTGAAGACACTACAAAGGTTGATCAAGCCTTGATCAGTCAAAGAAGTTCAATGAAAAACCAAAGAGAAAAATCCTCATAATTCTCTATTTTTCAATTAGAAAATTCTTTTTCATTTGTTGATTTTTCAATACAATAAATTTTCAAATACATCCAAACTTTTGCTGACCTTGGTAATTAATTAGTATTTAATGCTCTTAATTACCCTATGCAATCATGGAAATACTGACCTAGGGAATTACATTAATTTCACCTATAAAAAGGAAATGTTTCTTAGAGAATTAATTACATTTATTGCACCTAAAACTGAAAATGCTGCCTAAAGAATAGATTACATTTGTAAGCCTAAAAATGGAAAACAAATCCTAAAATTCGACTAAATATATCAGCTAATTCGGAACATTAGAGTTAGCTCAAAATAGCAAGATTAAGGCCAAATAAAGTATGCCCAAGTGTGATCCATGGTCTGAAATTTTGTATTATTTTAGCCCACAACTCCTTCAATAGTATCTTTAGCCCAAATGAGAGTAAGACTGTGATTAGGCTCATTTTGATGTTTGGAAGAGCTTTGTTTGGCCCAAGTGTCTTGAACAAGTCTGAAGTATCATTGACATTTGTAAAGGATCCTTTAAAGAGCTTGAATTAACTTGTTTTACCCTGATTTGCATCAGTTTTATTTCCTTCAATTTCTTCTTTCTCCTTCCCTCTCTATTCCACAATCTACTCCTAGCACTTTTCTGTCCGTCTAAGCTATTAGCCTCGTCTTCAAGATTTTGCCTTTTTCCTTTCCTCATAATTTATGTTGAGCATTGTTATTGCATTTGGCTCTATTCACACACATCAACCTTCAAATCAGTACCTATGAGTGTCTTGTCCCATCTAGGCAAAGCACTTGCCCTCCCATATTTTCCCATGTTTGCAACATGCTTGTGTGTTTTCTATGAGAATCTAATTATTTATCTTGTCAGTGCTTGCAAAGTTGTTTTGTGAATCAGTTCATGTGTTTCTTCTATAAACCTCCCTGGTAATCTTAATTCGTCTCTGTGAAATAGTTAGCAGCTCATTACTTGAGTGAGAAGAGATCAGCACTGGAACTTGCAATCTCAATGTCAGAAACTTCCAATGAGATGGATAATACTGCTGATTCAGTAGTTCCTTCAGCTTATGTGGGTCAGTATGCTCGATTACTTGAGCAAGGAGATAGTGTTGATATGCTACCGTAAGTCTTAATTGAGTGGTAAATAAGTTCATGTTTTGATATCTATTCATCTTTTAACTTATTGTTTCCATTTGGATGCAGTCTCACTGATGAAGAATACATCCATTATGCTGTTTCCGAAGGAAGAAGGTTTCGAGATTCACTTGAAATTATTGCTCTTCTAAAAAAAGCTAATGAATCCTACAGCAGTATTAAAATTCAGAGGATGAGTTCTTTTTGTGGGTTGCAAATGGCCAAAGAATATTTTGCTGAAGGTGATATTAGTAATGCACAGAAGATTTTTGATAGTATTGCTAGTCTATACAGAAAAGAGGGATGGGTAACTTTGTTATGGGATGTCTTGGGGTACTTGCGAGAGTGCTCTAGGAAAAATGGTACTCTTAAAGACTTTGTTGAGTATTCCCTTGAAATGGCTGCTCTGCCAATATCATCTGATACTGGTGTCCAGAGAGACACTGGTCCAGCTGGTCCTGCAAATCTACTGCAAAGAGAAATTGTACACAAGGAGGTTTTTGAGCTTGTCAGTGAAGCTTCAGGATTGGCAACAAATGAACACCCCAGTAATCTTAAGATCACTGGAAACGAATCACTTCAGCTTGAGGTTGATCTTGTTAGTCCTCTTAGATTGGTGATGCTTGCATCGGTTGTTTTCCATGAGCAGAAAATCAAGCCTGGAGCATCAACTTTGATTACAGTATCACTTCTTTCACACCTACCCCTTATTGTTGATATTGATCAATTAGAAATCCAGTTCAACCAATCTAATTGTAATTTGTTCATTGTAAATGCCCAAAAACCTCAATCAGTAGAAGTCAGTAATGGTAATCAACAGCATAGAATGGAGTCAGCACCTTCTCTTTCACTTGAATCAAACAAATGGCTAAGGTTGACCTATGACATCAAATCTGGTAAGTTATATACTCTTGACAAACTTTACTTTCCTCTTTAGCTGTCAAGCTCATTTATGCACCTTCGGATGTTACTAAAAAAAACAAACATGGGCATTGTACATTTCAAACATTATATATTATCTGATACCCCCTACCCCAATATATTGTGATCCTTAATTTCTGTTGTGTATGCGCTCCCTGTGGCTAACAATGGGATGGATGTTCATTTATGAATCATGCAAATGCTGTTATATGTCTTCTAAAGTTGGTATGGATTGTTCAGACTCTTTCAACAAGATCTGTCTATTATCTTCGGTTCAACAGTGCTGTTTACAGCTAACTTATTTTCCGCCTTGACACATGCGTATCTATTACCATCAGAAGTATTGTTTTCACTATTGGCATTTTATGTTGATTATGATTTTTCATGATATGATTTTGCAGATCAAAGTGGAAAACTTGAATGCCTATCTGTTATTGCAAAAATTGGATCACGCTTCACAATATGCTGCAGAGCTGAAAGCCCTGCTTCACTGGATGGTTTACCTCTTTGGACATTGGAGGATTGTATACAAACCGTTCCAATAAAAGATCCAATCCTTGTGTTATCTGGTCAGAAGTCCACCCAAGTTGAAGAACCAGACCCACTGGTAGATCTGCATCTTGGTGCCTCTGGTCCTGCTTTAGTGGGAGAAATTTTCTTGGTACCTGTAACATTGGTCTCAAAAGGCCATGATGTCTACTCAGGTGAATTGAAGATCAATCTTGTGGACGTGAAGGGAGGTGGCTTGTTTAGTCCAAGAGACTCTGAGCCACAGGCTATGGATAGTCATCATGTCCAGCTGCTTGGTATATCTGGACCAGAAGGAGAAGATGATTCTCAATTAGATTCTGACAAAATAAAGAAAATACAGCAATCATTTGGATTGATTTCCGTTCCCTTTCTTAAAAATGGAGATTCCTGGTCATGCAAATTAGAAATCAAGTGGCACCGACCTAAACCTATCATGCTTTATGTATCTTTGGGTTATACTTCATATAGTAATGAATCAAATGCACAGATGGTCCATGTTCACAAGCATTTGCAAATTGAAGGGCACACTGCTATTGCTCTTAGCCATCATTATTTAATGCCATTTAGACGAGACCCATTGTTACTCTCTAAGAATAAGCAAGGCTCGGAGTCTGATCAGTCAGCATCACTGCCCTTAAACCAAAAAAACGTGCTTATTGTTAGTGCAAAGAACTGCACTGAGTTGCCATTAAGGTTGAAGTCCATTTCCATAGAAGTGGAGGCTGATGCTGAAAGCACGTGCTCTATTCAACATGGAGACAAGGAGTTTTCAAACCCCGCACTTCTTGTTCCTGGGGAAGAGTTCAAGAAGGTATTCTCAGTCAGTTCCAATGTGAACCTTTCAAAGATCAGACAAGGAACTGTGTGTTTGAGATGGAGGAGGGATTTGGGGACTGAAGAGCAATCTGCTTCTACTTCAGCATTGTCTTGGGTTTTGACTCAACAAAAGCTTCCGGATATGAACATGGAGTTACCACCATTGATTGTGAGTTTGGAATGTCCCGCTTACGCCATCCTCGGAGATCCCTTTACCTATTACGTTAGAATCTCGAACCAAACACAATTACTGCAAGAAGTCAAATACTCACTCGCGGATGCACAGTGTTTTGTATTATCAGGGTATCACAATGACACTGCATATGTTCTTCCAAAATCTGAGCACATTCTCAGTTACAAACTCGTCCCACTTGCCTCAGGCATGCAACAGTTACCTAGATTTTCCATGACTTCGGTGAGATACTCAGCAGCATATCAGCCTTCAAATTCTTCGAATTCTGTTTTTGTTTTTCCTACCAAGCCTCATTTCAAAACTGCATCCTCAACCAACTTTAGGGTGGAGTCAGTTACTAATGAGTAAATCTTGTAAACCGTCAATTTCTTCAATTTTTCCTCTTCCTTGTAAACCCTCGCCCCCCTAGTTTGAGGGAACTTCATAATATACATGGAAAAGCTGCATATGCGGCCTGTTTTGGATTTCTAGTTCCTAGTTTATTATTGACTTGGTTAGTGCATCATATGTTCTTCAATAGCTATGCATTACAGCAATGCATTTTAGGGTGCATTTGGGCAACATCTTAATTAAGTATTTATTTTAATAAACTCTTCATGAGTAGTTTATTCCATAAAACTTATTGGTACAAGCTGAAAATTTTTTTTTTATAAGTTATATGAAAAAACTAATTGAAATAAGTTAAAAACTAACTTATGTTGAAAGTAGCTTACAAGAATCCCAGTTATTTTTATGAATTCAAATATCTCTTTAGGCTATATAATAACATTCTAATCGATTTTGTATTAAATGATTTTGGTGTTGGATTTTGCTAAAGTATAGATGCAAATGTTTAATATAAATTTCATAGTTTATTTTTTTATCTCCATATAACATAATTAGTAAAGAAGTATGAAATCTGTTTTTAAATATTAATATTTACATGTTATGGATGTTTTAAGGTAGAAAATGGCGACATTAGCAATGTTGATGAGCTGATTATTCATGATGGTCTACCGATGAGGGTGAGACTAAGACGTAGCTATCTTCTGAATTAGTGAATTTTATCTAAACTTAATAAGCAGATCTCTTAAACTACATGGATTAGAATATAATTTATCAATAAAACGTGTAACTCTATTTAATCGCTTCAAAGTTTTTAATTGTAAGTAAGTTTAGTTGTAAAAAGTTATTTTTAAATAAAAATATATTAGTCACATAATTAAAGTGTTTAATTTGGAGGTTAAATTGATATATGGAATATTTTTCAACTTAAATCTGTTCATCAAAATAAAATGGATTATTGACAAGAATCAACAAGGTTGAAGAAAATAAAAATGAAGGGATGAATCTTATACAAAACAAGATCAAAAGCAAAGAAACTCCAACAAACCTTAGATCAAATGGTGACAATGACATTCAAAGTACCTAAAAACATGGAAGAAAAGAACTTAAGTCTCGTCTCTTGTCTTCTAATTAAAGATTATGAATATTAGGATCTAATTCAATTCATTTTAGCCAATCCTTATTTTTGTTGTATATTGGGCTAAAATTTTATGTTCTAATTAAGTAGTTTATTATACTTTAAGTTAGTGAGCTAAACTGCATTTATTAATTAAATCTTTAGGCTTGAATATTAAAGTCCTCTAAAATTTTGCTTTTCATTATAAATATTAATGTAAGACTCCTCTATAGTTTTGAATAAGAATTAAGGATTACTTCTCTAAGAGACTACTTGGATCTTATCAAGTTTCTCACATTCTTGTGTCAATTCTACATCGAGCTTATCATTCTCTGTTTTTTCATTGAATTGAGTTTGTAGCACTTTCTTTTCTTTTTCTCTTTTTTCATCTTTTGAATTTTTGTTCTAATTATCTCAATCATATATCATGGTTTACAAATCCTTTTTCAGTATTTCTTGATAGCATTTTGTGTTTCAAAACATCATCTTTTACCTTGTTTTCGTAACATTGAATTTGAAATTTTCTAGAGTAAGATATACACTTTTTACAATGTAAATATATTTTTTACCCTAATTGAACTAACTCAAGAATAAATCCACCAATATCACATCAATTATGTTGAGTTTGGTTAAGGGAATTGTTTCTTTCTTTCAACCTAACATCAACTATTTTAGAATTGTAATACGGATTTCGTTCACCAAGACTCAAATATAACTTTTAGAAATTTTGAAATCTTGTAACCCTAAAAAAGAAAAGAAATCTTGTAAATGAGAATATAGTTATGCTTTTTACAAAGCTAATATCATCTCATCTAATTTTTTAGTAATAAATATCTAAAAAGGTCTTAACTTCTCTTTGAGATATTGAAAAAAGGATCCTCATTCACAAGAAATGACAAATATCTAAAAAGGTAAAATGATAAATACATTTTCATTTTCTAAAAAAAAAATCATTGTCAAGCAACTAAGAAGAGAACTCTCATCGAAAATCAAAGATCATCAAAGTTTATATAATAAGTCTTAGTAAACTAGCACAAATTTAAAAGAAATTGAAGTAACCTAACATGTTTCAATGGTCATGAACAATAAATCATGAGTTAATGTCATGACTTAAACATATAAATTAACATAATCATTCACCTTATTCTCAATTTTTTTAAAATACATGTCATTGTCAAGAGTTTAAACCCTAGTTCTTACATTCTATGTCCCTCTAACTTTTTCACTAAGCTACCAACAAGTGGGTTGTTAGGGAGAGATCTTCATCAATGTGATCATTTAAATTATTCACCCCAAAAAGTTTGGTTAGATGGACATTACTGTCAAATTATGATAAACTAATTTAAAACTTTTAATAAATTACTTTAATTTATATTATCAATTATTATTTAATAATAATTATAGACAAAATTTGAGGCAAAATTATCACAATTAGGCAACCTCAAATAACATTGAGACATATAACAATTAAGGGTGTACACAAGTTTTTGTTATATGTGAATTATTTGAGCTTAACTCCTTAAATATTTGGTCAAGCTTGTTTATTAAAAAAAAAAATACAAATTTAAAGTTAACTACAATTATTTAAATGAGTCTAGTTCAAGTTATCTAAGTTTGAAATTAAAAATTACACACATATATGTATAAATTCTTCTTTCAAAGAATTATATTATTTTAATAATGAAAGATTTTATTTCTAATATTAAAGCATCTTCATGTAAAAAAATAATAATATTTTATTACTAATTTTCGTTAATTTTTAGCATAAAGATATTTATTAAATATCAAATGTTAAATTAATAAATAAAATTTTATTCAAATTTTACCAAAAAAAAAAAAAAGCAAATGAGCAACTCTATACTTTAAAATTTTAATTAAACCAAACTCAAATTTTAAATTTTACTTATTTAAATAAATGAATAAAATTTAACTGTAATTACACACCTAATTACAATCAATACAACAATAATTACAATACTATCATTACCATTACAACGATTTCGTCACATTGATAATCGTTTTGATTGATGAAGATTATGATTATAACTTATGTTTTCTTTTAGATTTTTTTTAATTATTCTTTCATTCATATATTATAATTTTAAAATATTACAATTTTTAGTTGTATGTATGATAATTTTTTATTTTGATTGTTATTTTATAATTTTATTTTAAATATATTGTTTTATTTTTAAAATATTTTAATTATTGTATTTTATTTGATTAATTAAAAAAAAGAATCAATTATCAATGACTAACTATTGATAACCAAAGAAAATTTTTCCATATGAATGAGGAACTTTTTTTATATTTAAAAGAAAATAAATAAAAAACTTTAAAATATATTTTTTACGTGAAATCTCAAAATGTGTCTTTCTTTTCTAGATGTGTTCATCTAACAACGGAACATAATTGCCTGAAAGAAAAACATAAATGGTTCAATGGTTGAGCAATTTACAACACGGAGCGGGCTCAAAACATGATCCATAGAAGAGATCCAGCTTCGAGCAGGCAAATGTTCGATTTTATCGATGGAATGCGTCTTTCTCTCTCATACTGCATCTCCCAGTGACTGGAGAGTATTCAAACCCGATGATGCCTAAGTTCAAGGTCAGGGTAAGATCGTGAAAAATGGCCGTTATCTCTGCTTGTAAGACTGAAGCAGAACCCAGAGAATCCACTCGCCAAACGTATTCTGAATTAAGCCACAGTAATGTCATGCAAGAGGACCCGAATTTTGGTCATAATCTCCCAATCAACCCTAATTTTATTTTGAAAATTTTCCTCCTAGCTAGCCACAGTCCAAAAAGCCTAGATACTGTACCACGAACTTCCATGGCGTGACTTTTCGACCAGTGGCAAGAATTATCACTAGCAGAGGTCAGTATTGGAAAAGCCCAAACAATCCAGATCAGTCGAGCCTTCATGTAATTCCGCAAACAAAAGCTAAATGATCAAACCTTTAAAATAAATATATTAAAGGACTGATAATTTTACCTTTTAAAATCTATCCAAAATTTATTAATTAACCACAAATCTAAAAGAAATAGGTCCTAAATTGTACAATGCTAAGAAACAATAACTATACACATTAAACATTAATGTATAAAAACATGGTAAAAAATAATAAACTAGTAAGTAGATAATTGAATGTTGTAATACATTTAACATTTTTGACATTATAAATAAATAATTTACTTTTAGACCATCCAATTTAAATTCAAAATTTGCATAAGTAATTCTTTTGGCACCCCCAACTCCAACTCAACAAAAATTCATTCTATAATTCATTCAAAATTTGTATAATATAAATTATAATTACAAGATAGAGAAGGATACAAATCTTAGGGTTGGCTGGTCCTACTTTGTTCAACAGACGGTACAGAGGGAAAACAAAAACGACATATGAACATTAGGCACTTGACACTTCCAAAGTGAAATGCACTTCAATGGATAAAGTACAAAATTATTTCACCCAACGGTTAAGATTTTGACTGAATAATTGTCATCAAATGCATGCATTTTATCAAAATCTCAACCGTTAATGTTGTAATTCCACACTAAATCCTCTGAAGTGTACCTCCTGGCCTAAAAAACAATGCAAAATTGACAGTTTTCCTATCATATAAAGGAATAACAAGCAGATAGGTATTACAAAGACTCTGGAATAGTGGATGGTCTGATTCTTGCTGGCATTCGCGTACAACGTTCCAATTGTGTCTCGTATGTTAAAGATTGTTTGGGTGTGATAGACATTTTGTTCAAGTCAGGATTAAAACCAAGACCTACTTCTACGCTCACCATCATGTCATCATCAATCATATCCTTTGCATTCCTGTCAATAAAATCATCATCTGATACTTCGCTGCCACTGTCACTGACTTCATCATTGTCATCACTATCGTATGTAGTTCTGACTTTAGACCAGCGTACAAAAAATGGCCTTATGTAGCTGAAGACAGTCAACATTGACACAGTAGGAGTGGAGAGCAAAAGCAAGATCAGTATACAATTTAACAAGTCAAATCAGATAAATGTTCAGTTGAATATCTCTTCAGCATATCCAAAAACCTTTAGTTACAAACCTTTCACTTTTCTTCAATAAACATGGATCAAATGGGAAGAACATGTCAAGTCTATCCATCCCACCAAAAGCCCTGGAAAGATCAGACTCGAGTACATCATTGAAAACAAATGACTCAGATGCCATGAAAAGTTTAGCAGCCTTTGCCTGTCTAAGATACTCTTCCACTACAGTAGGCAATCACACCTGTAGGAAAAATTTATATCGGCCTTAAAAATTTATTTTAAAGTGATGTGTACACATTTGTGATTCAGTAAAAGGTCAACAGCAGATGCATCAGAACAGCAATAGATATTACATAATTAGAATTCCCTTTGTTTCCTTTGTAAAATCTAAAATAATTGATGTAGGATCTGTTTCATTTATTAGTTGATATTATATATCATTTAGGATTTGTTTACTTTATTCAGATAAGATTGTATCATTATCGTGATTTAGGATTTGTTTCCTTTTATTAGCTATATCATTTAGATTAACTTTCTTTGTATTAACCGTCATTAAAAGGGAACCGATATTATTCAATAAAGGACAAACAGTTATACTCAGAATCAGATACTTCAAAAGAGGCTCTGTGAAGGACGAGTCTATTTCCCTAATTCCTACACAAAGGACAAACAGAGTCGCAAGAGAAAAGTTGAAACAAAATGCAGTCTCCCCCCACCGCTCTTTTTTCCTCCAATAATATTCTTATTTGATCCTAAGCTATAGATGATGTTTAATATAGAAACTAAGCTACTATCCATGATGTTCTTACCTTCAAGGGACTCAATTTATGTTTCCAGATTGCTTCCATGGGCATATTGAGAAGCTGCAATTTAAGCCTTGGTGTGTATCCATCACAGACCTCATGCGAAAACATAGAATATACATGATGGCCTGCTCACACCAAAACAAACAAAAATAAAAATCCTGAAAAAAGCAACTTCAACACGAGACAATATTTGCAGTTACTCGAAATAATGGGAGGTGTTTCCACCAGGTTGAAAACATTTAGAAGACAGCTAAACCAATTGAATAAAGATGACTTGATCAATGAAGAAAAAATCAATTTATGAAGTGGCAACGAACAAGGATGAAGGGGCGATGGCAGAGTCAGAAGTACATACAAATCTAGACATTAACAGTATGTTCACATGTAACAGTTGCATTCCTACAAATTAAAAGGTCAACTGTCAATGGACTCACCTGGCACCCAGAATAAAAAACTTGGTGTGCTCGTGGATTCATATCAAAATCATGCAACTTGCAATAGTCAAAACACCAACTGACCAATCTGAAACCTCAAGAGACCACCACATCAATTTATAGCAATTTTCTTATTACAAAACAAAAAATAATAATTGATAAGGAATGGACAGTGGACACTATCTACAAACCTTTGTATGATGCTGGCAACCGATGCAGCTGAAAGAAACCTTGCACGAGACGGATAACTAGCCAGATATGCAACAGCACTCATTCTGGAATGTACAATTAACAATGTCGTGAGTTACATTTGAACCATATACAGCACCATATACACCACATGACAGCTTCCATCAAAGTCCAATTAAGTACTTAAAATTCAAAGAGTATTTCAAGATGAGGAGGAGCAGACCCCATTTTACAACAGAATTAAGTTGCAGCTTCGAAGGCCACCATTTTGAGACAGCAGCCACAAGCCAAATAGATTGACAACTAAAAATTAATAGTAGTTTATCATTCCAGTTTCTGATTTAAGCAAGGACAATCAGTTGATGGCTACTGTGATTATTCATAGTCAAGTTGAAGACATTCAAAGGAAATGATGTACGAAGGCATTGAAATATATTTTCCCAAATTTTACAGCAGCAAATATAATCCACCTCATTCCACCTACGTAGTTCAATTAATCTGGTGGATCAGGTGGATTTTGATTTTTAAACACAATACAAATAAAAGAAGATTACCTGGTAATAGGGGGGGTTAACATCACATTCAAACATCTCTGTAAGAATCATGGCAAATTTCACACCACATCCTTCAGGATCCAATGCACATGCATAGAACATCACAAACTGCAAATAAAAAGTGGCAGTAACCATGCAATTCACTGAAATAGTATTAAAATAAACGTCATGACCAATTTAAGAACAGCAAAAATTGAGGAAAGAACAGTACCTGCGTAAATTTTGACTTGTATGCATTTAATACAGTTCTTTGAAATGATGTCAGCAGAACATTGAATACCTAATAAAGGAATTTAATGGAACAATTAGGCACATTATGAAGTCATGTCAATGCACTGTTTAAATATAAGCAGTAGTTTGTTGTCAAATGTGCATGCATGAATGTGTAGTTTTATATAGGTGGGAATACCCCAGCCAAGCGGCCACTGCTTTGACAGGATTCAAGGTGCAAAAAGGTCAGCACCATTAGGCTATCCAATTTTTCAACAACCAGGTTTCCTTGCAAACCTTTCCTATATTTCAACTCTGCAGGAGCCTGAAAAAGGAAGAACAAGAACCATAAGATGGCATAATAGTCATGAGAGATACAAGGGGAAGCCTCAAAATATAGAGCACATTCTTTTATTAGACATATATTGATGGTCAGTAATGAATATTAGCTTTATGATCCCCAAATAACTTGCATTGCACAAAGAATAAAAAGTGGATATATATCATGGTAGTCAAAATGGATATTCTACGTACGATCTGAGAGGGGATGAAAGATGTAACTCTAGGATCGTAACACGCGGATGGTAAGATCCTACAAAATTATATAAATGTAAGTAAAATAGTAAAACAAAGACAAATGAGGGAAGGGAGCAACACTCAACCCGAACCAGCGACAGGGATATGCTAAAACAGAGAAAGAGAATACGTTAAAAGACTATTTTACCCCCAAAAAGACTTAAGATAAAGTTATTTTAAGGGCTAAAAGAGAAAGTCAAATTATTTTTAAAAACTAAAACGTCTTTTTCATCCTTAAAAAACCCTAAAATTTCCTTCATTCTGGAAATTGAAAGGAAAAGTTGATTACGACACTGTTGCACTGCGCTTTGACAAGGTCGCCGGAGCAAAGCAGAGTGTCGCCACGGACAAGGTCGCCGGAGCAGACACATTCATAGGAGCGAAAGCTATAGGGATCGCAGACCAAAACAGAGCACAGAAAGCAGAAAATCCCAGACCAAATCGTAGAAAAAATCCAGTCGCGGAGCCAAATCGCAGTTGCCGGAAAAACACAGAGAAGTCGCGCAACAGAAACGTAAAGTCTCGCAGAACAGAGTGAAGAAGAAAGGAAGAAGTCGCAGTGCGGAGTTTTTGGGATTTTAGGTTCCAACTCCTTTAATGAAGTCGGGTTGGGTCGCGGGTCGTCTTCTCTGTACATCGGAATCGTGCGTTTTCAACGTTTTTACGTCCCAGCAAGAACGATCCCACCATTTCAACGTTTTTACGGTACATGTATAACCTAATTCTACCCGACCTTAAAATAATTTATTAAACCTTGTTTTAATATTAATTAAAATAATTTAATTTAACTCTAAATTATTTAATCCATATATTATGGAGTCAGGATAGGGTTACCCCTGGCCTAATTACAGAAAATACTCCCAAATTTTGTTCAGCAAACCCTAACATTCTTAATTGTTTATGGAGTTGGTTTCTTCAACTTTCGATTTGGTTTCTTCAGTTTCGATGCAATCACTCACCGTCCACTTCATCGAGGTTCTCTGTCCGAGGTTCTCTGCTTAAGTACCTTACCTTACGCTTCCATTTTATTTCAATATTTCCTCTCTTAAATTTGGCTTTGAATTCGATTGCAGAAACTTTTCAGGTTAGCTACACCTTTCGCTCATAATCCCTCCACCTTTAATCTTCTTCTTCCTCGTCAACCGCTCAGGTTTCAATTTCTTTCCTTGCTTTTCTGTTTGCTTAAACATTTCTCCGGTAGTGATAGATCACCTTACGATCTTTATTGAGAATGTTTGAAAAATGTTTTAGGAAAGAGTTATATTTTTACCCTCACTGTTTGCTCAGAAGAGTAGCGGTGCATGATGCGAAACAATTGTGCTTTTTATGTCTTTTTCCGTATGCTACAAACACGCGCAATTGCATGATATTATGGTCTTGAGAGGGGGCAAGTAGCTAAAGTGGTGAAATCACCCAGATGCATGTCACATATAGATGCGTGTGATCGTTTCTTGTCCTCTTGTATTTTGCTTGTTGAATTCGTAGTACTCTGCTGTTGGACCATGCTTAAGAGGTTTCTGATGGTGCAAATTGCAAGTCCCTAATGATTAATCCTAATGCTTTGAACTCTAAATTTGGTGGTGTGATTTCTTTTTCTTAAACCGTCGAAGAAAATATGTGTATATTTGAAATCAAAGTTATAATTGATATTAAACCATAACATTTGATTTGATATCTGACAGAAAAACTTATAAACTGATTACTCCTCTCTCTTTCTCTAGGATAAACACAGTAAGAAAATAAAAGAGGGTTTTTATTTGGATAAGAATCTAGAGTGGTTAAAAGAATGGCATAATGTGCAACTATGTGAGAAAATAACAGTAAATAAAACATTTTAAAATGCAGAATAATCTTATCATTTCATTTCCATGTCCCATTATCTCTGTTAATGCAAAGAGAACTATACTGTTAAGATGTAGAGGATCCAATTTAATTTCATTTTGATTTAAAAAGTGGTTTACACCCCGGAAAGTTGCAAACTAGTGGAATTATATCAGGGTAGGGACATAGAAAATAATTAGTTATATTTTTGTCTTCACTCCCATCCCAATCCCTTTCATATATTGTCATATAAAGAACACACGCTTATACTCACTAAAATATTGACTGAAGTAAGCGCTTGTGAATCAAGATTTTCAGTCAAATTTGGTTTATTCTGAATTGCATCTGGTCAATGATACAGTTCTACTGTGGACTGGTATAGCTGGTGCTGGTGGTGCTTAATTGATACTCACTAGCTAGCTAGATTACAAAGTCCACTTCTTCTAGCATTCATAATTGGTCTCTATCAATATTGTGCCCGTTGAAACCGTTATTTACAGCATATGTATTTAATAATTATAATTGCATTACCTCTTGCTGCCATGGTAACACAAACAATTAATGGGTTTTGATAAACAAAAGATTAAGTAATGGGGCGTCAATTTTATCACAAAATTATTAACAATATGGGAATTGAATATTGTTATTGATTATAGTGACACTGTTGGTTAAAAAGGGGACTGGAATCTTGCACTAGTGATCATGTATTTATAATCGGAAAAAATGCACTTTTTGGGTGGAAGAAAATAATTATTAATATGGATGAGTATCAATTTAGAGCCAAATGGCCCAAATCCAACAAAGAAAATAAATGGTCAAGTTATCCGAATGAACAACTCTTTTTCTTACTTGCTGCAAATTGGTGAGTGCATTATCTTATCATGAATGTTGGTGAGTGCAAATGATACTGAATTTATGAAGAAATTTCTCTGTTTTAATTATAATAAAGGGCATTTTTATCCTAGAATAATATTATCAATGTTATGATGACCCGTATTTCATATCATATGTCATTTAGTTACCAGTATTTTTTTTACCTGGTATGTTGCCTTCAGCTTGATTTTGTTGTGCAAATGTTTATAGTTGCACTGATGTTCTTTTGTTTATAGTTGGACTGATGTTCTTTTGTTATAGATTGAATTTTATTGTTAACTTATTCCACCATTGTTTATAGATGGGCTGATGTTTTATTTTGCTGTTATTGCACTAATGATTAATAGTTAATTATGAAATTAAATTTGAGTTGGAAACTTGCAATTGTTAAAAAAATTTTGCCCTTGAAGTCCTGACTCTAACCCTGATCCAGTGGGCTTTTTAGTCCATAGAGCTTTTGATTTATTGGGTTTTTTAGCCCATAGGGCTTTTTGGCCCTAACCCACCTGGGCTAGGGTTAGGGCTGGGCCAATTGTGCTTTTTGACATCTCTAAACTACCTATGGTCACCAGTCACTGACAGCATTGTTTGTAGTTTTCTACTTATAATAACAGGGACCCATAGAATTAGTTGTTTTTTAAATAGTTCTGTATTCTGGTTTTGTCATAATCACTTTATTTATTCTTGTTGGTTTGCAAATTTTCCTTACGCAACTTATTTTGAACTCCAGTCACTTTATTTTCCTTACTTTAGTTGTTTCTTAATATACTGCTATTATAAGCTGTTCAATTTAAAAAATAAGCAGAAAGAAGGATAACATTGAGGATCATGATGTTACTGGTACTTGATGCCAGTTATAATCTACCAGTGTCATACCATGCCATTAATTTGATAACAACAAAAACATGGATCTGAAACAAATGACAATTTGGGCAAAGAGCTGTCTATATATATCCTACTATATTCAAAATTATGATCTTAATTAGATAGGCACCAGTAGAGATTATTAAGAGTGCTAAAATAGATTTGTTATTGAATGTTGTTCAGAACATTATCAATGTACTAGTTTAATTCTTGTAGTTCAGGATTCGGTTATGCATCCTTAAAGTAGTGTTAAGAACTGGATTATGAGATGGATTTTGTGAACAGTAGTGTTAAAAACTGATATTGGCTTAAAACTGGTTTTTGAAATTGGTTTCGGCTAAAGAAAAGTCTTCGTCAAAACTGGTTTCAAAATCTAGTCTTAAAATCATTTTTGAACCAAATCCAAGTTTAAAACTAGTTTAATAAATCGTTTTTAAAGCTAGTTTTCAACCATATTAAGTTTTAAAACTGGTCTTGAGAAAATCTGGTTTTGTTCATAAACCAGTTCATATCCTGTTTGAACTGTAACTGGTTTGGTCTGGTTTTCAAACAACAGTAAATATTTCTTTACTTACGTACAAATCCTAATTTAGGGATTCAATTCAATCAACAATAAATGTGAAATGTTAGGATTATGATTTGTAATTTTTTTATTTTCTGAAGCTTTGATTATAATATGGAGTTTTCTTTCATATGTTTTCACCTGCTTTACTTGCTGAAGCCACTTTTTATGCAGTGCAAAAGCGACTTTTAGTTTCCTTACATTACTGAAGACCGAAGAATCAGAAGAACTTGTATCTCCTATTGACTTTGAAGCTCTGTTGGTCAAAGCAGCAAATACTTTCTTTTTGGTTGTATTTTATCTCCATTGGACCTTGGCACTCTTTAATTTGGTTAAAGCTCAATGTTCTATCTCAGCAGAATCAATCACAAATTGCGCCTGCCTCCTTCTCGTCTTGCTCTTCCCATTCAAGAAGCTATACATATTGAGCTTGAGAAACTTTTCTTAGATAAGGTTTTCTGTTGTTGCCATTTTCAGTTTTCTTTGTTTCCCATATTGTGTAATTTGACTTAATTTGCTTAGCTTCATTTTGGGTGTCTGTAATCATGTCAGGTCATAGCAAACTTGGGCCTTTGCATTTATGTTTATGATATTATATCCATTGAGGGTGGATTTGTCTTCCCGGGTGATGGGGCTCCAACTTATACGGTATGAATTCATGGATGGTTTTATCGTTTAGTCCTGCATTGGATGGGAGTTGATATATAATTTTTGCTCCTCTTAGCTGGATATTTAAACTTTATCGGGAGAAAAATTGCCCACCTAAAATTCAATCCTTAAGTTTTGATTTATGGGTGCAAAATTGTTGATATGCTATTTTTTTGTAATGATTTATTTTCAGTATCTTGGAACCTGCAAAATTATTGTACTTTCTTAGGCCCCCTCATTTACGATTTTATGATGTATGAGATGGGCTGTATGATTGTTTGTGTCTGTGAAATGACTATATTCTAATATTTCTGGCAGGTGGTGTTCAATTTGGTTATGTTTCGTCCATTTGTGGGGGAGATTATTACGGCAAGGCTTCTTTCATCTGATGCTGATGGCTTACGATGCACGTCTTCAACTATCAGCTACTCTCTTGATTGTTATTTTCACTTGACATGCATAATTTAGTTCCTTGTAGTTCTCTGTTTTATGGTTTGTTATTATTAGATAAGAATCATATTTATGTGCATACTTCTATATCATATATATGTTAAATCTTACACACACCATCATACTTCTAAGAATTTCTTTTGGTCAGGAAAAACAGTTAGAGGGGGGAATTATGATTGGTTTTTTAGTACAATATAGTTACTTGAAAGTTGTTTGTGAGCTGCTCTGATTGAGACATTCCTAATACTTACTGACAAAAATATCTCTTATTATCTGGATTAGATATGTAGGTATAGCAATATAGAAAGTGAAATGTCAGACATTGCACTCTTCCTTGATATCTTTGCTGTTTCCTTTTTCATGTGTTAGATTATGAGGATTCTGAACTTAATTAGGATCGATGTTAATTTAATTGAAGCTCATTCTATTGCAACAAAAATAATGGAAGACAAGAACAATGTGACTTACATGTTGAATTGCTACCAAAGCTAGTTTTGCATGGTGTGACACTTAAAGCAACTATTATTTGCATCATGTGACAACACCATCATCTATTGTCTGCATCCTCTCAAAACTTGACCAATTGTCAAATGTTGATGTTTTTGAAGATAGCCTCTGCTTATTAATGCTGAATCTGTGATTGGCAGTAACCCTTGGATTCTTTGAAGATATTTATGTTCCTGCGCATCATCTGCCCAACCCAAACCACTTTGTGGCTGAGCCAGTAAATAGGTGATGTTTCCATTGTCTAGTTTTACTTTTGGGATGACCTCTAAACTTAATGCATACAGTTTTTCATTTTTCATATGTAATGTATTGTATAATTATGTTCATCATCATGCTTATTTGCTGTTATGAAAATTACAGCAAGAAAGGCATATGGTTTTGGGATTTTAATGGGCAATCATATGCAATTGATGATACTGATGTGGTTAGTCTCCTTTGCCATTTTTGTTACCTGAATCTTTGGAAAGCAAAGAATATCTAAATTTCAGTTACCGATGTGGCAGATCAAATTCCGAGTTCAAAATGTGAGTTACCCACCAATTCCAGTTGAACAACCAAAAGAATCAAAGCCATTTGCTCCTATGTTGATTACTGTGAGTATTTTGATATTCACTGCACCACTATTTACCTTTACTGTCTTTATTAACGTGGTTCATGCATTTCTGTGGGTACTATAAGTTTAAACTACTAAGAATGATTAGATATATGGTCAAGTTTTACATACTAAAAGTATTTATTCATTATAGTAATATTATAAAAAAATGAGAAATTAAATTATTTTGAAATTGGGTGCTAGGAGTGTGTGCAGGTGTGTCTATATATATACAATTATAATTTTTGTTTAATTAGATGGATTCCACAGCTTCACATATAACAACTAATTGTTATCATAATGCATTGTTTATTTTGGGCCTTGATTCATAATTAATGACTAATTGTTCATGTCTTCGGTGCACACGGATTTACCTTCTTTTCTGTGTTACCTTGGGGAGGTGCAAACATCATGTTTTGGAGGGAATGCGGTGAAGGATCGAATCATTGAACCCCTACATCAATATCATACCCAAATCTTATAGACTTCTTTTCACATTGTTTCGTTTATCATCCCCATGTTTCTCTGTCCTACCTCCCCCTCTCCTACTTTAGTTTTGTCTGATGTAATCATCCACATATTAATGCTAATACTTTGTATCATGCATCACATATATCTTGATTATGGATTAAAATCCCATCATTTGCAAGAGACAAGCCGGTGCCCTTCACATTGAATTAAAATAATTATATTTGAACTTCTTGACATATATAAAATGTTTTGGTCTGATAGTAGCATCGCATATTAATGGGATAGTGACTTATCATGATGTCTATTTTACAGGGATCGTTAGATCATGATGGTCTGGGCCCTGTTTCTTGGTGGTTTGCCGAAGAGGTTGAGGAGGACGAGCAAAGGATTCAAAAGATGGTGAAATTTTTGTCAAGTGACAATTTCTAGTGTATATAAATTAGCGTGATATCCACTGAAATTTGGATTCATTTCAACGATATAAGTTATAGCTTTCTTGTTGAAATATGGTTTAGTATAAATTTTAATGAGTTTTCAAACACATATTTCATTCGTAGATTACGTTCAGCCTTGGGCTTAGAAGAAATTGTTCTTGGTACGATATGAGAAATTAGTGGTTTGGTTGCGACTCAACATCATTGAATATGCCCTTGTTTCAATTCCTTTGCTTTGTCAAGTATTTAATGGAATTATCAAGTCTCAAACAGCAAATCACTGACATTGCATATTTACTACGAAGGAATGCGGAGAAAGAAAGACTTCATAATTTCTTATATGTACACATGGAACGATATTATTTACTTTTATTTCTGTTCATAAAGTTCTATTATATTGTTCCTACAAAAACAAGTTGCGATCAATATGACAACATATCAACCCCACTCCGCCGCGCGAAGAAAAGAAACTTAGATTGTGGATAAATCATACCAGAATGCATACTTTAAGCACAAGGAAATTTAATAGATACAATTTTCATCTGTAAAATGAGGAAACCTAGCAAGTAATAACGCACTTATAACTTTATTTTAAACATTTTTTTTACTATTTCGTTCAATTCAACTAGGATTCCCAAATGATGTTAGTCTTATTTTTTATTGAGTAATTTTATATCTTAGTAAATTTTTCATGACATTTGATACGATAATAATATGTTAAAAAAATGTTAGATAATGTGTTCCGTAAAAAAGAAAATGATAGGAATATACTGTTTAAAATATTTCTTATAATTAGTTTATTTTTAAAAAAGTTAAAAGACCTTATAAATTGATTACTTTGAAAATTTTGCTTTAATTTTTTAAAAATAAACTCATTATAAAAATGGTATTAAAGGACATTTAAAACAGTAAATTGTTACATTCTTTTATAAGTTATTTGACTTAATATAATTCAGCACCCTAAAATAATAAGTCAAACTTTGGTATATATTGTACGTATATAGTACATTAAAATATAGCAAATGCCTGTTTCAATTTCTAACATAAGTTTGGGCAATATTGGTTTGATCTGGATATAAGATACAAAAAGTGTGAAACTAAACACTTTGATAGAAGCGGCCTAAGAAAGTCATTTTTAAAAAAATAAGCATCTTTATATTAATGTCACTTAGAAGTAACAATATGTTTAATATAGTTAATTATAATCACTTTTACACTTTAACATTTTGATTATCGAATCATGAGTTACTCGATAAAATTGATCATTTTAAAGAAATAACTTTTAAATGAAAAAATTTTGTAAATTTTAATGCTCATGTACTAAGCTCCATTTAATGTATTTAGTTTCAAATATTTTATTATAAATAAAAAGAATTATAATATAACATATTAATATAATAATTAAATATTAATAATAATAGAATTAAGAATATAAAAAATAATTTAATATAATATTAATATTTTTAAATTATTTTTCTATCATTTTTTTATAAAATTTTAGTTTCAAACAAAATAATTCATATTTAAATAATTTTTATTTATTATAGATAAAAAGAATTAAATATAATATATTTATATAATAATTAAATATTAATAATAATAAAATTAAGAGTATAAAAAATATATTAATATAATATTATTATTTTATTTTAAATTTTATTTCATTTAATTTTGATTGCGTCTTATTATTGTTTAAAAACTTAACCATTTTTTATTTTGTTTAAATGTAACAAATATGATAATTTATTATTAAATAAATTTATTATTTAAAAAATGTAATCATGTATAAATATTTTTAATTTTTAATGGAATATAATTTTTATTTATTATAATTATAAATAAAAAATTATATAATATATTAATTTAATAATAACAAAATTAAAAATATAAAAAATATGTTATTAAATAACTTTAACTATTTTGAGAGCTCTATTTTTAAATTATATATATATATATATATATATATATATATATATATATATATATGCTGGCCTGTCAAGTTTAACAGGCTTTGTAAATAGCTTAAGTCTGTCTTATTTACTTAAACAGACCTTAAATAAAGCTTAAACTTTATTTGTTTATTAAAAAGGTTAAGTTAGGTCGGGCAACAAATCCTGTCAGGCGAGTGACGCCTCTCGCTACAGGGAGAGAATTGTGAATTGTATAATCTCGCTACAGCGAGAATCCCTTTGCAGCACCACATCAGCCTGAGCATTTTCAATCCAATCACAAGTCAACATTCGTAGTTCAACCACAACATAGGTATATATATATATATATATATCGCCAATATAACTCCAAATGTACATTCGAATAACAATACACATACTTATATTAATAATCAAATTGAGATTACAAAACTCAAAGCGTTACAAGACCAATAAGTATTGGTTGAATGCTCTGTTTTTTCACATATACCATAATCTAATGGTGGCTGTAAAGAATTCCTCACAAGGTGAGACCCTTTGCATCTAAAGCATTTATGGGTCCCCTCAAAAGACTGAAACCACTTTTATTGCCTCCACGAGATGCAGTCCCCTTTGACTGAGACTGAGTAGCATTAGAGTATGGTCCTCTTTGAAACCTTGGAGGTCTTTGGTCCTGCCTCATTGCTCCTCTAACTCTACTATCTACCAATTTATACTTAGAATTAGCTTCAAAGATTCGACATTTGCTCACTAACGTCGGTAGATCAGTTAATTGGAATACACTAACTGCTACACAAATCTCAGGCCTCAACCCATTCTCGAATTGGGCACATAAGTCTTCATCCCCATCCTCGTGTTGAAAATGAGGCTAATACTTCATTAGTTGGTGGAATTTTGCAGCATACTCTACCACAGACATATTTCTTTGCTTTAACTCAAAGAATTCTTTGGCCTTCTGGTTCTTCAAGTCCCTTGGGAAATAATTCCCTAGGAAACTTACCTTGAATGCTTCCTATTGGACATATCCTTCTTCTTGTGGCAAGGTTTGCCTAACATATCTCTCTTGGTCGAACTTTCCTTCGAACTTTGGAGGGTTGTGCTTAGTGAATGATGAGAGCCCATAGTACTCTGCTGGCTTAGCGTCTTGGTTTTGGACCAAAGTTTCCAAGACTTGTGTCATGCATGCCAAAATTTCATTCGTAGCACCAGCAAGTCTACCTCTACCAGCCATAGTTCTAATATCAAGAGGAAACAAACAAGCATATAAGCTTCTATCATACACATTACACAGATACACTTATACACTTAGTTCGAATAATTCAAACACATTACACAAATGAGGTAAATGAGAATAGTATATTCAGTCAAGATTGATTTGTTCTAAGATTATATTATTAGTTGTTTTATATGAGGAAGGAGTTACTCTGTTAGGATTTAAATTATTCGGATGTGGTAATAATTTTGATTGAGTTCTAATTAGAGTTGATAATGATATGTAAGTATTTTAATCTCAATTTTAGAATTTATAATGTTTTGATAAACTTTATTGTAAATAATGAATTGAGTTGTATTTGTAATCATTAGTAAGTTAATGATTCTACTTGTAATTTAAATCTGACTTTGAATTAGAAATTTAATTAATTGCAATGAGGTGTTGTTTATGTTTTAAACTTATGCAACATGAATCAAGTTAATTGTTCAAATGTAATTTCAGTCTTTACTTTAATTAGAAATTTAAATTGTAAAGATAAATTTTCATCTCAATTATGAATGAAACTAATGTGATTTTACTTGCAGTTGTGTAATGAATGAGACATATATATAAAATTTTAAAATTTTATTGACTTCTATTATTTTAAGATTTATATAAATATAATTTTTTTAATTCATTTATAATATTTACCTATTTCAATTAAGTTTTATTAAAAATTATTTGTAAAATAAAAAAAATAGTCAATTATTTGAGAGCGTTGCAATTTTTATCAAGTATTGGTGAAAACCATGAAGATCAAAATGAGTAGCATGTCTTTTAAATAATGTATATAATTGTAAATAAGTTATCAATATCTTATCTTAAAAATTATGTTTTAAGTTATGATGTTTTAATTAGATAAGAATTTATAGAGATGTATAACGTAATGAGAATTTTGAATACTAAATAAAAAAAAATTGTAAAGGTTATCTCAAGTCGCATTATCACCTCTTAATCATATACACTGTTGTTTTATGTTTTTTTTTCTTTCTCAAAGCTCACTATTAGAGAAGAAATAAAAAGGAATTTGAAATTTTTTTATTTAAGGTTGTTAAAGTAAAAATAAATTCCTAAAAGACTAAAGGTCTAATTAGATTTTAATGATTGAAAATGTTACGTTAAAATGAATTTCATTTTGTTTTAAAATGATTATGTTTAAGTATTTTAGCATCATCTACAAGACCATTAAACAAATAGACAATTTAAAGAAATAAATGAGCATAGATAAAATCTCACTATTTTAAAATATACATAGTATGTTAAAATATCAATAATATAAAACAAAAATAATAAAGATACAAGCAGTTGACTAAAAAAGTAAAACTCTTATAAAAAAAAAAAGCAAAGTTACTTGTGGAAAAAGAAAAAGAAAAAGAAAGTGTGTGTTAGTTGCAAAAGAAAAAAATATTAAAAAGAAAAGAAATAAGGGTTACATTTGCATGAAAGAAAAGAGGAGTAAAGAAAGTGAAAATGTAAAAATCATTACTCCAAAAGCTTTATTTATAAACCTAGGAGATATTTGTGATTATTTTAATTAAATTAACCCTTTGTGTATCCTTTTCCTTCATTTATCTCATCTTAATTTATATAACCTTTTGGCCACATTATAACATATAAAAGACCTCATGGTTAAGCCTATGGTAGTGTATTTCTTCTTAGAGGGACTGAGCATTCTCTATTTTTGTCTTTATACACTAAAAGAGAGAGAGAGGAGAGTAGAGTATTAAGTTTGTGATTGAAGAAGAAGATAGAGAATATAAAATTTTAAATACCTTTTAAATCCTAGAGGGACTGAGCATTCTCTATTTCACATTGTTCCTTTATTCTTTAGTCAGGACTTTTGCTTGAAGGCAATCACATCTTAAGTATGAGAGGTTGATAAGTCCATATTTTGATATATTTTATGACTTATATTTATACACTTAAACCCTATTATATATATACTAATTATGCTATTAATTGTTGCAGTTTAGCTGGAAGTTGTTATTAGTGTATTATGGAGATATTTTGGATAAAAATAAGATAATTTTAGCCCTTGGTCGTGCTATGTGAATTTGAGTTTGAATTTTAAATTTTAAATTTAAACTTAGATATGAAGATTTGAAGAGGTTTTTAGTTAAAATTCTGATTGTGGATAAAACCGATTCAAAAAAATAAGAACTCAACTGACCAGGAACTTAGGGCACATCTTATATAAAAAGGCTTTATGCTCCACACTTGACACACTTCTCTACTTCATTCTACACTTTTCCACTTCATTCAATACACCATCTTCCCTTTCTTAGTTCTGACTCACTTCACCATTGAGAGTTATTAGAGATCATTGGCAAAGATAATGAACTCTTTCGAAGTTATAGCAAGTGATTGAGCACCCTGTTGGAGAACGGAAACTCTTTTCATATTTTTTCCTTATGAATTTTTCTTGTTTGTATTCTCCTTTGTGTTTTATGGATTGGTTCATTATGTTTTTCATTATGAGTAACTAAATCCATAACTATGGCTATAGGGGATCCTATTACATACCTTATGTGATTTTTACTTTTACTATCAGTTTTGGTTTTCCTTTAATGTTTGGCTTTTATCCTGTTGAATAATATTGTGCATGTTAAGAATTGATCACTCTTAGCATATCATAATTAATTGCATCGTAGGCAATCGTATCACTTGTAATTAATGAAACTATATGATAAAGCGAGATAAAGGGTTAGGTTAATCACATTTAATTCCTCTCTTCCAACCGTTATTGAATTAACAAACTCATAGGATCTTTATGCTTTCTCGACTATTTGCCTTGTATGATCATTGGGAGTGATTACTGATCAGGAAAAAGAATATTAACATTGCATGATCATTAAGTGTTAATAGAATTAGTACGAGTGGTTGGCAAATATTCAAATACCAATACTTTGGTTAAAATAATTAGAATATAAAGAAGTGTAATAGGTGAAACCATAAGTCCTAAACTCATTTCATTCAATTTCTTTCATATGTTACATTATTGTTCTCTTCAATTAATTATTAACAATTAGTCTTGTTTGTTTTAATCTATCACACTCCCTTTGCGTTTAAACAATCGAATCAAGGTATTATTGGTATTTGAAAATAATCTTTGTGGAACGATAAATTGAGAACTCTTTTGAAAACTCTTTTATTACTTTTTGATGGGTATATTTGCTCATGAACAGGTACATTAATTTATAAAAGGTAAAAACATATTTCTACCCTTCTCTTACATTTTGCACCAAAATAGAAAAAGAAAACAAAAGAGTTAAGAACAAAAAACACATTTGGCTCAACAAAAGCACTTGTTCTTATTATAAGAATTTTCAAAAAAGAAGTTTGTTAAGCCTATCAAAAAATCAATATCTTTCTTATTTTTTTATTTAAAAGGCAAAATGCTTATGAATTTATAAAAAAGTTAAAAAAGTGTAAGAAATACCTCAAAGTGTGATTCTTGAAAAGGTATTTGTAAAAAAACATATTTAAGCCTAGAAAAAAGACTTGTGCAATAATATTTTAGCCCAAGTGTGATCCATGGTCTGAAATTTTGTATTATTTTAGCCCACAACTCCTTCAATAGTTCTTTAGCCCAAATGAGAGTAAGGCTTTGATTAGGCTCATTTTGATGTTTGGAAGAGCTTTGTTTGGCCCAAGTGTCTTGAACAAGTCTGAAGTATCATTGACATTTGTAAAGGATCCTTTAAAGAGCTTGAATTAACTTGTTTTACCCTGATTTGCATCAGTTTTATTTCCTTCAATTTCTTCTTTCTCCTTCCCTCTCTATTCCACAATCTACTACTCCTAGCACTTTTCTGTCCGTCTAAGCTATTAGCCTCGTCTTCAAGATTTCGCCTTTTTCCTTTCCTCATAATTTATGTTGAGCATTGTTATTGCATTTGGCTCTATTCACACACATCAACCTTCAAATCAGTACCTATGAGTGTCTTGTCCCACCTCGGCAAAGCACTTGCCCTCCCATATTTTCCCATGTTTGCAACATGCTTGTGTGTTTTCTATGAGAATCTAATTATTTATCTTGTCAGTGCATGCAAAGTTGTTTTGTGAATCAGTTCATGTGTTTCTTCTATAAACCTCCCTGGTAATCTTAATTCGTCTCTGTGAAATAGTTAGCAGCTCATTACTTGAGTGAAAAGAGATCAGCACTGGAACTTGCAATCTCAATGTCAGAAACTTCCAATGAGATGGATAATACTGCTGATTCAGTAGTTCCTTCAGCTTATGTGGGTCAGTATGCTCGATTACTTGAGCAAGGAGATAGTGTTGCTATGCTACCGTAAGTCTTAATTGAGTGGTAAATAAGTTCATGTTTTGATATCTATTCATCTTTTAACTTATTGTTTCCATTTGGATGCAGTCTCACTGATGAAGAATACATCCATTATGCTGTTTCCGAAGGAAGAAGGTTTCGAGATTCACTTGAAATTATTGCTCTTCTAAAAAAAGCTAATGAATCCTACAGCATTATTAAAATTCAGAGGATGAGTTCTTTTTGTGGGTTGCAAATGGCCAAAGAATATTTTGCTGAAGGTGATATTAGTAATGCACAGAAGATTTTTGATAGTATTGCTAGTCTATACAGAAAAGAGGGATGGGTAACTTTGTTATGGGATGTCTTGGGGTACTTGTGAGAGTGCTCTAGGAAAAATGGTACTCTTAAAGACTTTGTTGAGTATTCCCTTGAAATGGCTGCTCTGCCAATATCATCTGATACTGGTGTCCAGAGAGACACTGGTCCAGCTGGTCCTGCAAATCTACTGCAAAGAGAAATTGTACACAAGGAGGTTTTTGAGCTTGTCAGGGAAGCTTCAGGATTGGCAACAAATGAACACCCCAGTAATCTTAAGATCACTGGAAACGAATCACTTCAGCTTGAGGTTGATCTTGTTAGTCCTCTTAGATTGGTGATGCTTGCATCGGTTGTTTTCCATGAGCAGAAAATCAAGCCTGGAGCATCAACTTTGATTACAGTATCACTTCTTTCACACCTACCCCTTATTGTTGATATTGATCAATTAGAAATCCAGTTCAACCAATCTAATTGTAATTTGTTCATTGTAAATGCCCAAAAACCTCAATCAGTAGAAGTCAGTAATGGTAATCAACAGCATAGAATGGAGTCAGCACCTTCTCTTTCACTTGAATCAAACAAATGGCTAAGGTTGACCTATGAAATCAAATCTGGTAAGTTATATACTCTTGACAAACTTTATTTTCCTCTCTAGCTGTCAAGCTCATTTATGCACCTTCGGATGTTACTAAAAAAACAAACATGGGCAGTGTACATTTCAAACATTATATATTATCTGATACCCCCTACCCCAATATATTGTGATCCTTAATTTCTGTTGTGTATGTGCTCCCTGTGGCTAACAATGGGATGGTTGTTCATTTATGAATCATGCAAATGCTGTTATATGTCTTCTAAAGTTGGTATGGATAATTCAGACTCTTTCAAGAAGATCTGTCTATTATCTTCGGTTCCACAGTGCAGTTTACAGCTAACTTATTTTCCGCCTTGACCCATGCGTATCTATTACCATCAGAAGTATTGCTTTCACTGTTTGCATTTTATGTTGATTGTGATTTTTCATTATATGATTTTGCAGATCAAAGTGGAAAACTTGAATGCCTATCTGTTATTGCAAAATTTGGATTACGCTTCACAATATGCTGCAGAGCTGAAAGCCCTGCTTCACTGGATAGTTTACCTCTTTGGACATCGGAGGATTGTATACAAACCGTTCCAATAAAAGATCCAATCCTTGTGTTATCTGGTTAGAAGTCCACCCAAGTTGAAGAACCAGACCCACTGGTAGATCTGCATCTTGGTGCCTCTGGTCCTGCTTTAGTGGGAGAAATTTTCTTGGTACCTGTAACATTGGTCTCAAAAGGTCATGATGTCTACTCAGGTGAATTGAAGATCAATCTTGTGGACGTCAAGGGAGGTGGCTTGTTTAGTCCAGCCACAGGCTATGGATAGTCATCATGTCCAGCTGCTTGGTATATCTGGACCAGAAGGAGAAGATGATTCTCAATTAGATTCTGACAAAATAAAGAAAATACAGCAATCATTTGGATTGATTTCCGTTCCCTTTCTTAAAAATGGAGATTCCTGGTCATGCAAATTAGAAATCAAGTGGCACCGACCTAAACCTATCATTCTTTATGTATCTTTGGGTTATACTTCATATAGTAATGAATCAAATGCACAGATGGTCCATGTTCACAAGCATTTGCAAATTGAAGGGCACACTGCTATTGCTCTTAGCCATCATTATTTAATGCCATTAAGACGAGACCCATTGTTACTCTCTAAGAATAAGCAAGGCTCAGAGTCTGATCCGTCAGAATCACTGCCCTAAAACCAAAAAAATGTGCTTATCGTTAGTGCAGAGAACTGCACTGAGTTGCCATTAAGGTTGAAGTCCATTTCCATAGAAGTGGAGGATGATGCTGAAAGCACGTGCTCTATTCAACATGGAGGAGACAATGAGTTTTCAAACCGTGCACTTCTTGTTCCTGGGGAAGAGTTCAAGAAGGTATTCTCAGTCAGTTCCAATGTGAACCTTTCAAAGATCAGACAAGGAACTGTGTTTGAGATGGAGGAGGGATTTGGGGACTGAAGAGCAATCTGCTTCTACTTCAACGTTGTCTTGGGTTTTGACTCAACAAAAGCTTCCGGATATGAACATGGAGTTAACCACCATTGATTGTGAGTTTGGAATGTCCCCCTTACGCCATCCTCGGAGATCCCTTTACCTATTACGTTAGAATCTCGAACCAAACACAATCACTGCAAGAAGTCAAATACTCACTCGCGGATGCACAGAGTTTTGTATTATCAGGGTATCACAATGACACTGTATATGTTCTTCCAAAATCTGAGCACATTCTCAGTTACAAACTCGTCCCACTTGCCTCAGGCATGCAACAGTTACCTAGATTTTCCATGACTTCGGTGAGATACTCAGCAGCATATCAGCCTTCAAATTCTTCGAATTCTGTTTTTGTTTTTCCTACCAAGCCTCATTTCAAAACTGCAGCCTCAACCAACTTTAGGGGGGAGTCAGTTACTAATGAGTAAATCTTGTAAACCGTCAATTTCTTCAATTTTTCCTCTTCCGTGTAAACCCCCGCCCCCCTAGTTTGAGGGAACTTCATAATATACATGGAAAAGCTGCATATGCGGCCTGTTTTGGATTTCTAGTTCCTAGTTTATTATTGACTTGGTTAGTGCATCATATGTTCTTCAATAGCTATGCATTACAGCAATGCATTTTAGGGTGCATTTGGGCAACATCTTAATTAAGTATTTATTTTAATAAACTCTTCATGAGTAGTTTATTCCATAAAACTTATTGGTACAAGCTGAAAATTTTTTTTTTATAAGTTATATGAAAAAACTAATTGAAATAAGTTAAAAACTAACTTATGTTGAAAGTAGCTTACAAGAATCCCAGTTATTTTTATAAACTCAAATATCTCTTTAGGCTGTATAATAACATTCTAATCGATTTTGTATTAAATGATCTTGGTGCAGTTAATTTTATAAACTCAAATATCTCCTTAGGCTGTATAATAATATTCTAATTGATTTTGTATTAAATGATCTTGGTGTTGGATTTTGCTAAAATATAGATGCAAGTGTTTAATATAATTTTTTTTTTTTTGTCTCCATATAACATAGCTAGTAAAGAAGTATGAAATCTGTTTTTAAATATTAATATTTACATGTTATGGATGTTTTAAGGTAGAAAATGGTGAAATTATCGAGAATGTTGATGAGCTGATTATTCACGATGGTCTGCTGATGAGGGTGAGACTAAGACGTAGTTGTATCTTCTGAATTAGTGAATTTTATCTAAACATAATAAGCAGACTTCATAAACTATGAGTTAGAATACAACTTATCAACAAAACGTACAACTTTATTTAATCTCTTCAAAGTTTTCAATTGTAAGTAAGTTTAGTTATAAAAAGTTATTTTTAAATAAAAATACATTAGTCACATAATTAAAGTGTTTAATTTAGAGGTTGGATTGATATATAGAATATTTTTCAACTTAAATCAGTTCATCAAAATAAAATAGGTTATTGACAAGAATCAATATGGATGAAGAAAATAAAAATAAAGGGATGAATCTCATACAAAACAAGATCAAAAGTAAAGAACCTCCAACAAACCTTAGATCAAATGGTGACAATGACGTTCAAAGTACTTAAAAACATGGAAGAAAAGAATTCAAGTCTCGTCTCTTGTTTTCTAATTAAAGATTATGAATATTAGGATATAATTCAATTCATTTTAGCCAATCCTTATTTTTGTTGTATATTGGGCTAAAATTTTAAATAAGTGGTTTATTATACTTTAAGTTAGTGAGCTGATATGCATTTATTAATTAAATTCTTTAGGCTTGAATATTGAATTGAGTTTGTAGCACTTTCTTTTCTTTTCTCTTTTTTTCATCTTTTCTTTTTCTCTTTTTTCATCTTTTTCCTTTAGGTTTTACAAATCTTTTTTCAGTATTTCTTGATAACATTTTGTGTTTCAAAACATCATCATTTACCTTGTTTTTGTAACATTGAATTTGAGATTTTCTAGAATAAGATATACTCTTTTTACAATGCAAATATATTTTTTACCCTAATTGAACTAACTCAAGAATAAATCCATCAATATCACATCAATTATATTGAATTTGGTTAAGGGAATTGTTTCTTTCTTTCAACCTAACCCAACTATTTTGGAATTGTAATACAGATTTCGTTCACCAAAACTCAAATATAACTTTTAGAAAATTTGGAATCTTGTAACTCTAAAAAAAAAAAAAAAAAATATCTTGTAAATGAGAATATAGTTATGCCTTTTACAAACTAATATCATCTCATCTAATTTTTTAGTAATAAGTATTTAAAAAGGTTTTAACTTCTCTTTGAGAAATTAAAAAAAGGATCCACGTTCACAAAAAATGACATAATGTCTAAAAAGGTAAAATGACAGATACATTTTCATTTTTAATAAAAAAATTATTGTCAAGTTAACTAAGAAGAGAATTCTCATCGAGAATAAAAAATCATCAAAATTTATATAATAAATCTTAATAAATTAACACAAATTTAAAAGGAACTGAAGTAACCCAACATTTATCTTATTCTCAATTTTTTTAAAATATATGTCATTATCAAGAGTTTAAACCCTAATTCTTAGATTCTATGTCCCTCTAATTTTTTCACTAAGCTACCAACAACAAGTGGATTGTGTAAAATTATAATAAATTAACTTAAAATTTTTAATAAATTACTTTAATTTAATTTATCAATTATTTTATTTAATAATAATTATAGACAAAATTTGAGACAAAATTATTACAATTAGGCAAACTCAAATAACATTGAGACATATCACAATTAAAGGTGTACACGAGTTTTGTTATATGTAAATTATTTTTAGCTTAACTCCTTAAGTACTTGGAAAAGCTTATTTATTAAAAAAAAATACAAGTTTAAAGTTAACTACAATTAATTCAGATCAGTCGATCCTTCATGTAATTCCGCAAACAAAAGCTAAATGATCAAACCTTCAAAATCAATATATTAAAGGACTGATAATTTTACCTTTTAAAATCTATCCAAAATTTATTAATTAACCACAAATCTAAAAGAAATAGGTCCTAAATTGTACAATGCTAAGAAACAATAACTATACACATTAAACATTAATGTATAAAAACATGGTAAAAAATAATAAACTAGTAAGTAGATAATTGAATGTTGTAATACATTTAACATTTTTGACATTATAAATAAATAATTTACTTTTCGACCATCCAATTTAAATTCAAAATTTGTATAATTCTTTTGGCACCCCCAACTCCAACTCAACAAAAATTCATTCTATAATTCATTCAAAATTTGTATAATATAAATTATAATTACAAGATAGAGAAGGAAACAAATCTTAGGGTTGGCTGGTCCTACTTTGTTCAACAGACGGTACAGAGGGAAGACAAAAACGACATAAGAACATTAGGCACTTGACACTTCCAAAGTGAAATGCACTTCAATGGATAAAGTACAAAATTATTTCACCCAACGGTTAAGATTTTGACTGAGTAATTGTCATGCAAATGCATGCATTTTATCAAAATCTCAACCGTTAATGTTGTAATTCCACACTAAATCCTCTGAAGTGTACCTCCTGGCCTAAAAAACAATGCAAAATTGACAGTTTTCCTATCATATAAAGGAATAACAAGCAGATAGGTATTACAAAGACTCTGGACTAGTGGATGGTCTGATTCTTGCTGGCATTCGCGTACAACGTTCCAATTGTGTCTCGTATGTTAAAGATTGTTTGGGTGTGATAGACATTTTGTTCAAGTCAGGATTAAAACCAAGACCTACTTCTACGCTCACCATCATGTCATCATCAATCATATCCTTTGCATTCCTGTCAATAAAATCATCATCTGATACTTCGCTGCCACTGTCACTGACTTCATCATTGTCATCACTATCGTATGTAGTTCTGACTTTAGACCAGCGTACAAAAAATGGCCTTATGTAGCTGAAGACAGTCAACATTGACACAGTAGGAATGGAGAGCAAAAGCAAGATCAGTATACAATTTAACAAGTCAAATCAGATAAATGTTCAGTTGAATATCTCTTCAGCATATCCAAAAACCTTTAGTTACAAACCTTTCACTTTTCTTCAATAAACATGGATCAAATGGGAAGAACATGTCAAGTCTATCCATCCCACCAAAAGCCCTGGAAAGATCAGACTCGAGTACATCATTGAAAACAAATGACTCAGATGCCATGAAAAGTTTAGCAGCCTTTGCCTGTCTAAGATACTCTTCCACTACAGTAGGCAAACACACCTGTAGGAAAAATTTATATCGGCCTTAAAAATTTATTTTAAAGTGATGTGTACACATTTGTGATTCAGTAAAAGGTCAACAGCAGATGCATCAGAACAGCAATAGATATTACATAATTAGAATTCCCTTTGTTTCCTTTGTAAAATCTAAAATAATTGATGTAGGATCTGTTTCATTTATTAGTTGATATTATATATCATTTAGGATTTGTTTACTTTATTCAGATAAGATTGTATCATTATCGTGATTTAGGATTTGTTTCCTTTTATTAGCTATATCATTTAGATTAACTTTCTTTGTATTAACCGTCATTAAAAGGGAACTGATATTATTCAATAAAGGACAAACAGTTATACTCAGAATCAGATACTTCAAAAGAGGCTCTGTGAAGGACGAGTCTATTTCCCTAATTCCTACACAAAGGACAAACAGAGTCGCAAGAGAAAAGTTGAAACAAAATGCAGTCTCCCCCCACCACTCTTTTTTCCTCCAATAATATTCTTATTTGATCCTAAGCTACAGATGATGTTTAATATAGAAACTATGACTACTATCCATGAAGTTCTTACCTTCAAGGGACTCAATTTATGTTTCCAGATTGCTTCCATGGGCATATTGAGAAGCTGCAATTTAAGCCTTGGTGTATCCATCACAGACCTCATGCGAAAACACAGAATATACATGATGGCCTGCTCACACCAAAACAAACAAAAATAAAAATCCTGAAAAAGCAACTTCAACACGAGACAATATTTGCAGTAACTAGAAATAATGGGAGGTGTTTCCACCAGGTTGAAAACATTTAGAAGCCAGCTAAACCAATTTAATAAAGATGACTTGATCAATGAAGAAAAAATCAATTTATGAAGTGGCAACAAACAAGGATGAATGGGCGATGGCAGAGTCAGAAGTACATACAAATGTAGACATTAACAGTATGTTCACATGTAACAGTTGCATTCCTACAAATTAAAAGGTCAACTGTCAATGGACTCACCTGGCACCCAGAATAAAAAACTTGATGTGCTCGTGGATTCATATCAAAATCATGCAACTTGCAATAGTCAAAACACCAACTGACCAATCTGAAACCTCAAGAAGAGACCACCACATCAATTTAGAGCAATTTTTTCATTACAAAACAAAAATAATAATTGATAAGGAATGGACAGTGGACACTGTCTACAAACCTTTGTATGATGCTGGCAACCAATGCAGCTGAAAGAAACCTTGCACGAGACAGATAACTAGCCAGATAAGCAACAGCACTCATTCTGGAATGTACAATTAACAATGTCGTGAGTTACATTTGAACCATATACAGCACCAAATACACCACATGACAGCTTCCATCAAAGTCCAGTTAAGTGCTTAAAATTCAAAGAATATTTCAAGATGAGGAGGAGCAGACCCCATTTTACAACAGAATTAAGTTGCAGCTTCGAAGGCCACCATTTTGAGACAGCAGCCACAAGCCAAATAGATTGACAACTAAAAATTAATAGTAGTTTATCATTCCAGTTTCTGATTTAAGCAAGGACAATCAGTTGATGGCTACTGTGATTATTCATAGTCAAGTTAAAGACATTCAAAGGAAATGATGTACGAAGGCATTGAAATCAATTGTCCCAAATTTTACAGCAGCATATATAATCCACCTCATTCCACCTACGTAGTTCATCAATTAATCTGGTGGATCAGGTGGATTTTGATTTTTAAACACAATACAAATAAAACAAGATTACCTGGTAATAGGGGGGTTAACATCACATTCAAACATCTCTGTAAGAATCATGGCAAATTTCACACCACATCCTTCAGGATCCAATGCACATGCATAGAACATCACAAACTGCAAAGAAAGAGTGGCAGTAACTATGCAATTCACTGAAATAGTATTAAAATAAACGTCATGACCAATTTAAGAACAGCAAAAATTGAGGAAAGAACAGTACCTGGGTAAATTTTGACTTGTATGCATTTAATACAGTTCTTTGAAATGATGTCAGCAGAACATTGAATACCTAATAAAGGAATTTAATGGAACAATTAGGCACATTATGAAGTCATGTCAATGCACTGTTTAAATATAAGCAGTAGTTTGTTGTCAAATGTGCATGCATGAATGTGTAGTTTTATATAGGTGGGAATACCCCAGCCAAGCGGCCACTGCTTTGACAGGATTCAAGGTGCACAAAAGTCAGCACCATTAGGCTATCCAATTTTTCAACAACCAGGTTTCCTTGCAAACTTTTCCTATATTTCAACTCTGCAGGAGCCTGAAAAAGGAAGAACAAGAACCATAAGATGGCATAATAGTCATGAGAGATACAAGGTGAAGCCTCAAAATATAGAGCACATTCTTTTATTAGACATATATTGATGATCAGTAATGAATATTAGCTTTATTATCCCCAAATAACTTGCATTGCACAAAGAATAAAAAGTGATATATATTACTCAGACAAGCAAATAACCAATATATATTAGTTATTATACCTATCATCAAGAGCTTTTTTACTAATTGCTATTTTCAAAGAAAAATAATCTAAATCCTTGTGAAAAGGAACAAACTGCACAGCCCATCAGCAAGCAGTCAGCTTGCAGCAAAATCCCAGAATACCAATCAATCTCGAGAGGTTTATCCTTCCTTTCACCATGCCCTCTCTGAAGTATCACCACTGATGAGAAAATCATAGAACTGGGCTCTCACAAATCCATAGTATATTACCTAGGAGATTCAATTTCGTAAAAGAAATATCTACACAGATTGTCTCACACTCCATCCCTACTGCAGGGCAAATTTTACTCCCTAAAGGTGTTGCTTCCTCTGGATTCAGGAAGTTATGATATACAGTGGAGTTGAAGAAGCCACAAGATGCAGGGGTTTAATGCAAAGCAAAAGTGGCCAGGGACCTCTCGCTGATTGATGCAGCTTTCTTTAGTAACATGCACACCTCTGGAAACTTGATGGCACTTCCCCTCCATGGTGAAGGTCTGAAGGAGATGCAAGCTCCTGGGTGATGACCACAGCATCACGCTTCAGGATTAAAGACAGTAGCAGCAAGGATTGTGCAAGCAGATCAAGTTACACAAAACACAAAAAGGGAGCAGCCACTACCAAGCATCTTTATAATATTTTAAACACTTCTAATTTATACCTTTCAGCCAATTTTGTTTTTCCCTGCAAATTAATAATTTATTTATTGAATGCAAATAGAAGGGCATAAGTTCTTGATACCAATAGGTAGACTCACCTCTAAGGCAAACTATCATTATATGTTTTATTTTCACTCCAACATAGCGAAATTATAAGGAAAACCAATGCAATTTAGTAAAATATTTTATAGGCTTTTACATTACCAACACCTTTCTTTCATAAGGTAGGCATTTTGATGCCTCTCACCCTAAAAGTTCCCATGCACTTTAAGGGTGCATTTCCTTTCACTATCCAGTGCATATTTTTATGTTGGACATGCGCAACTAGTCCATGAGGAATGAACAATAGACACCAGTATGCAGGTCAGAAAGACATACCAAGCATTACTTGGACATATATGGCTCAATTGATGTACACAAAACTAGATGACATCACAAGGAACATTTTGACCAACTACTTCAGTCAAAGTACTGACTCTATGAGACAGCACATACAGGTTAAGGAAAACTACCTCCCTCGCTTATTAAGAAGGAACAGAGATAGAAGTTACTAATATGAAGATTCACCAGAAAAAGGTAAAGCTCAACAAATCAGAAAAAGATCGCAGACATCTACATGATAATCTAATACCAACAACTATCACATTAATTGAAACATGTTTGTCTTCAATTTTGACAGCTGAAATCCTTGTAATTACAACATCACCAAAACATATCAGGAATGTTCAAAAATGATACTTATCAATGCAAATGGACATGCTCACTTACTTGCTTAGCATAAGACATTTGAACAATTAAGTACCTGAAATCAATGTATTAAGTTTTGCCACTTCACAAAGCCGCTCAACCTCAACCATGGCTGGATAAAGCCAAGCCTAAGTACCACTCAGCTTGGCATGTTAGCCTGAAATAGGCAAACACCAGAATAAGGCCCTTCATCTTTTGATAGGGCAAATGGCTGTTTCCATAGCCTTGTAAACTTACATATATGCTCTGACAATTACACTATCAATGCACCAATCTATGTTTGAACAAAACTTGTATTCCAGTTAAAACTCAGATCTGCCAACCTTCCTTTCTTGTCTATTGCCCCTCTCTTGGTAATAAAATGCTGAGTATATGCCACGAAGAAGAAATTAGAAGGAGCATGGTCATGTGACAGGTATACCAATAGTGATGCAAGAGGTCCATTAGAATGGCATGACGATTTATTAAATTTACACAGCAGAAATCATCCAAAGCTTCACATCTCATTCACTGCTGGATTTTTTGGCAAGCACTTTCCCTTTGAAATATAATGGATTTGTGAGAGAGATTCAAGGGAGGATAGAAAGTCAAGTTGCTACAACTACAACTAATGTAATCTGGTATTGTAATTACAAACAGTGCACCGCCACAAAAGGGGGTTAGGATGAACTTTATGGTTAATCACAAATTGGTTAACTTGACCATGCTTGGTCCATTCCCCATGCTATCAACCATCCCTGCCCATCCTTGGGAAATTTTCTTGAAATTGAAACAAATTCTCAAATGGACATTTGAAGATAGTGGAAATATCAGGCTAACATAACAACCTCACTCAATTTTTTAACATTTCCAATTCCAGGAAAACAATCCACCAGAGAAGGAACATGGAATAAAATAACTTCACAACAGAGACAAAACATAAATGAACATAAAATCTGACAAGCAATATCAAGCCAACTGCAGGAATATGAGATTTACTCCTTCAAGCAAATATGAAGAAAAAAATATTGGATTTATTAAGTAAACTCAGCTAAGGTGAACTAAACTCTCCAATCCAGTGAAACATCTTTTTTTAATATTCAAAATACCATTTCATTATACAACTGCAACAAGAAATTTAAACAAATTGTATGTACCCTACCATACTATCACGTTTCTCATCCTCATCTGCAAATTCAGTATCATCATCTAACTCCATTTCAAATATGCCTTTGGCATCTTCCATCAGGATTCCATCCCATCCAATTTCCACCTACAACCATGTGAAAGAATTAATTAAATGGCCAAATGACCAAAAAATTCTTTTGAGTAAAAATTTGTGGTAGGCTTAACTAACTTACATCCAACTCTATCAACCTATCCACAAGTGCAGGCAGCATTGTAGAACCAACAGTTTCTCCAATTGCACCACTCTCCAGCCTCAACATATTCTCCACATACATAACAATCTCCTACATGCAACATAAACAAGTGAATTTTCTTGAAAAATAATAGTAAAAGACAATAGTTCTCTCTCTGTAAGATGAGTTAACAGTGATACACAAAAATAGAAAAGTGGATAACATAAGCTGTCTCCATATCAATAAATTTAACAATTTTCAACATACCATTTTGAAATTAAAATCCATACTACAAAAAGAAAAAACTTACAAAAAAAAAATTATCACTATAGATTTTCATACAAAATAATTCAAGGACAAGGAAATGGAGAACCAACGGCAGATCCTACATAACATGACACAAGAAACGCTTTTCATAATATTTACCAGAGAACAGTGTAAACTCACAGTTTCCTTACTGAAGACACTTGGCATTTTCTGGACAACTATTGGAGATAGTCGCAAGGGAGCAAGGGGCACCAAATCAGCTATCTCTTCCAAAGCAGCGTGCACTCGTGACAGAACTTTATTTTTCCTGTCAATTCCATTCTCCTGCTTCAGAAGATCTAAGAGGTAATAAGGTGGCACAAAATGCTTCACAAGCATCTCCAAACACCAGTCAATATATTTTCCATTGGAAGCAGCCTGTAGAAAAATACATAAGCAGCAAACTTAATAAAAATTCACAAATTGCTCTACAAGTAACAAAGATCCAAGGGTGTCACAAAAGATTCATGTACCAATGATACAATGAGCTCCAGCAGCGCATCCATAACATCAGTTCCATAATTCCACAAGCTCATTCTTGACACCTGGACAAACAATTATATCAAAATCAATATCCACAAATATTGACATGGAGGCATAAATTCAAAGCTTTGAAAACACTAGAGCCAAGGTGATATCATACAGCAAAAAGAAGAGCTTCATGATGAACAGAATCGATAGAGGACACTGCTCCAGAAAGTGCCTTCAAAGTTGTCTGTAACAATATGATATAACAGAATAAAGTGTGGTCATCACAGTGTCTTAGGTTTAAGCCCAAGGAAACGATGCAACAAAATTTCAAGTTGTTATGATATTTAACTGAATAACCTACCACAAGGTAAGCAACCTCATCAGGATTAAGTTTCTTTTTCGGGTGCAAATAACCAACAAGTTCATCGTAATTCTCTCTATCACCCTGAACCACAAGAATCTAACTTTTATTTTCTTTGACGAGAGAGAGAGACATCAAATTGAACAAAAGTTGTGAAAGTTTCTCGAATGTTTTACCAACGTGACTGCAGCAAGGACATCTTTGACGTGACTAATTAACTGGGAATCACTGAAATCACCATTCTCCATGTCACCAAACTCTTCTTTGTCAGTTACCACAACCCTTCCCATGTTCTCTTAAAACCCTAAAACACACGAAACGAAAAAAAGTCACAAAGCATTAACCAAAAATACTTTGCAGTTTGCATAGGCTAGTGATCACAAACGACGCGATTTAACAAAACGCTAAAACATGCTAAACGGTGCTTACAAAGCGATGAAGTCTGCAGAAGCTAAGTGGGTGACTCAAAGAAGAAGGAAGTTCGAAGCACTATGCTTATCTAACAATAGCAGTAGAAGCAAAACGACAGCGTATCGAAGAGGAAGGAGGCGCGTGAAAGGCTGTTACTGGCGTTGGCTGCTGCAACCTCTTCACCGAAAGAGTAATTGCGGCTGCGAAGAGGGAACAGCAACAGGTCTTTGGCCGAGCAAATCTCGTTCTTTATATAGACGTCCTTCTTTGCTTTTTTTTTTTTTTTTTTCCAGTTATTTGGTCATGGCGTTATATTTGCATGTTGGGCCAACTCAGACTATGAAAGGGAGCCTATTATTTTACACCGTACAAATATGGGCCCATTCTTCTCTTGTCAGGGTTTCCTGAATTACATTTCGCCCCTATTTTGTACTTTTAACACCGCTCTTGATAATTTTTTGGCAAAATCTACTGTGCTCTTTTCCTACTGAGGGGCATACCATGCTCTGGTCAAATACATAAATATAATTTTATATTTAAAAGATTTATGAAAAACATATTTACTCATTAATCCTTCAAAATACTTATATTAATTTATTAAATAATCCTTTAATTTAAAATTTAAAATTTAAAATTTAATATTATTCACTCATTTCTTTTGTTTGAATCTCAAATCAAATTTAAGAATATAAACCCTATTTCTATTTTTACTTGTTCATTTTCAGATTGTTTACATTTTTTTGGTGTGATAAACTGCAAATAATACAGTGCAGAATTGAAAAACTACTCCACAAATCTTCTACTTTTGTTTCTAAATGTCTCATGTTTAGGTAATATGTGAATTTGTGTTCTCAATTCATAACTTCACCATTTTTTTGGTGTGATAAACTGCAAATAATACAGTGCAGAATTGAAAAACTACTCCACAAATCTTCTACTTTTGTTTCTAAATGTCTCATGTTTAGGTAATATGTGAATTTGTGTTCTCAATTCATAACTTCACCCACCCACACTTTTCTTAATTTTTTCCCATTTAATTATTACTTTGAAGCGTTGTAATTTTTTTTTGGAGTTTCTAAGTTTCTTCCGTGTTCTTCACGATCATGACAGCAAAATGTATTAATGAACCCTAAATAATATAACGCAGAATTGTGACTCTACTCAACAAATCTTCTTCTTTTATTTCTGAATAGCAATTTGTGAATTTGTGTTCTCGGTTCATAATTTCACACACCCACACATATGTATATTAATCCCTTTCTCAGTTTTTTCCCATTTGATTATTACTTTGAAGTGGCAGTCCCATTCTTAGTTGATTATGAATTTCTTGCAATTTTTCTTTGGAGTTTTGAAGTTTTTTCCTTGCGTCCTTCTCTCGTGACTTCAGGCGCTCAAGTTTGCCTCATTCATCCGGTGCTAACAGGTGCGTCTTTCAGTTTGACCGGTATTACTTCAGCTTTAGACCTTCGTGTAGCCTCTTTACACTTAGAAGCCCCTACATTCAAAGCCCTCTTCTTGCCTGAATGTTCACCCGGTTCCCCTGCCTTCACCGTATTGTTTCCTATACAAAACTATGCATTCTTTTAGTTATAATTTTTTTCCATTCTTGGTTGATTAAGAATTTCTTGCAATATGATTATGAAACTTCTTGTAGAAGATGTTGGGTATTATCACATCAAAGATACCTTTCACGATCTTCAGGGAAAGCTTAAATACAGGGAAGCTTAAATTTTATCCTTAAATTGTTAGATGGTGAAGGCAGTGAATCAGAGTAAGTAATAATTAAGAAAAATTTCAATGAGAAAGAATTTTTGGTTATCAATTAAAACTGTGGTACATGCTCCATTTTATTTTCTTCTCGAGCCCAGGTTTTTCTTTTTCTTTTTGATTGTGTGGAGAGAGTAAGGGTGACTTAGCTTTGTAGGGGATCAACCAATCCAACTACGGCTAAACGGGGCCTTTGTTGGTGCACTTAAATTACTCACAATGTTGCTTTGATGGCATCAAGAAGGATTTGGTGATTGTTTAACTATGTTGTATGCATACGTGTCTTACACCATATAGCAACTGACTTTTACTCTGTATTATTACATTATTCAGTATAAGAATGGTAGAGAATTTCAATCATTACTCTTCCTTTCATTGTATTCAACTCTGATATTGTCTGTCTTGATGCTCTGACATTTACCAATTAATATTATAGAGGGATTACGGGGGAAGAGGAGGAGTTGGATGCACATAAATGTTGGAAAATTACTTTGCATCAAATTTCAATACTCGAACAAGAATACATCTATACTGTGTATGCACTTAGGATGAAACGAACTGATATTAAAATATATTAACAACAACTATTTCAATCTGCCTATGAGTTTTTATTTAGTTTCAAACGATTGATTTCATTATGACTACACCAGTCTTTTTCTTGTTTTGTCAGAATAAATATTGAAGTTGAATTAATCAAAATTATTCTATGTAAACCACACTAAAATTAACCAATTGTGATATTAACAACTCTGGTAAAGTTTAAAGTATATTTAATATAATTGCTATAAGGTTTCTTTTGCGAACTTTTTCAAACATTTGCCTTCACAGAATGGTGGGTTTTAATGTCACATTGTCCTTTTAGTGAAGCCATGTTGATGATGTTACCAAAAGTGTTTTAGCCTTTGTAGTAGCTTGGGGCTGGGTTCAAAAATTCATGCAGTAGCCTCCATTATGCAAGTAGCATTATTTGCTAAAACAAAGTCAATACTCTTAACGGGGAACTATAGTATTTGTATAATGACAAATTATGTTAGACTTCGTTAGTGAATTTTTCAATTAGATAAGATGCAATTTACATATATTTCTTTTGTCTAATTTATGAGTGTATATGTGTTGTGTCTTTTGTCCTTTTATTGCTGCTCCTACAATTCATGTCTAGCTGTGTTGTTGTCCATCCCTTCTTCATTCTCTGTTTATTCTTTGAGCATATCATCATATCACTTGTATACTCTAAAATTTATAAAATACCATTAATGAATATATCATTGTCAACGATAAGAAAGCAATCAGACATATATGCTATTTACCCAAAAAGAAAAAAGCCAATCAAAACAAAAGACCAAAAACCTTTGCAAGTGTTGGTTTGATTATATGAAAAATTTCCCTCAATTTATTTTCATGTCAATATAATTTGTGAAATGTAACTTAATATTTTTCAAACTGAATTGCTCAGGATGCTTTATAAAAATTAACAAACTAGTAGTAGACATTCTAAAGTAATATTATTACACTTTGCATTAAGAGCTATGTTTTATAATTTGTACTTGTTTGATTTTTTAGAAACATGTCGATCTCTCTTCTCACTCACCATAAAGTTTAATATTAATTAAAATTTATTTGTCTTGATTATGAAATATGATATGTTTTACCATTTTAATCAATATCTTTGTAGATTATTAAAAATGACAAATGATGATGAAGATTGCATTAATTTTGATGATGAAACAAATTTGAATTTGACTTTTACCAACAATAACCATGGTCAAAACATTGAAGGAAAAAATGTCATTGTAGTTGATGATTGTGCAAAGAACATTGAAGTTAGCAATGACATTGAAGATAAAGTTTACAAAAAATTAAATGATTTGACAGCTAAAGATATATTTAGTCTTGATTTTGCATCTGAGTTTGAAGCATGTGAATTTTATCGAAATTATGCAAAATACCATGGATTTGTTACTAGAAAAGATAGAATTGATCTTGATTCTAGAGGCAATATTATCATGCGGCAGTTAGTTTGCGATAAAGAGGGCCTAAGAGATAAAAAAACACCTTGACAGAGTGGACCGAGTTAGAGAACACAAACCTATGACTCGAACTAATTGTAAAGCTAAGTTTCCAATGCATCTAGATTATAAGACTTCAATGTGGAAAGTTGTGGCTTTTGAAGAATTTCATAACCATTAGTTAACTTCTGTACAATATGCCCACTTATTGCCTGGAAATCATACTTTGAGGGATACAAATAAGGCGCAAGTTGATAGTTTGCATTTATATGGAGGAAGAACAAGTCATATTATGGGTCTAATGTCAAGCCAAAAAGGTGGACACTCTGATCTTTGTTTTATAAAGAAGGATTTATATAATCACTTAGATAAGCAAAAACGTGCTAAAATAGAATATGGAGATGCTTTTGTTGCATTGTGTTATTTGCAAGCAAAGGCAGATAATGACCCTATGTTGTTTTGTAAATTCACTACCACAGATGATGGGAGATTTCAACATTTGTTTTGGTTAGCTGGCCTTAGTTGACTTGACTATGAATGCTTTGGAGATGTTATAACATTTGATACCACTTATAAGAAGAATAAGTATAATAGGCCATTAGTCATTTTTTGTGGGTATAATCATCACGGAGAAACTGTAATATTTGGTTGTGTATTGGTTGCTGATGAGAACAGAAACATACAAGTGGGTTTTAGAAGCTTTTGTTGAAGCTATGTCTGACAAGCATCCTAAAGCAGTGATTACTGATGGTGATAGTGCGATGAGAGAGGCTATTAAAGACGTATTTCCAAATGCATCACACTGACTTTGTTTATGGCATCTCCACCAGAATGCAATTAAGAATGTCAAAAATTCTAAATTTGTTGAAGATTTTAAGTTTCTAATTTATGCAAACCTTTTCCCGAAAGAGTTTGAATTAGAATGGAACAAGATTATTGACAAATATAATCTTTTTGACAACCAATGGGTGAATAAAGTATATAAGATGAAAACAAGGTGGGCAAATGCTTTCATGCGAGATAAATTCTTTGCTGGGATCAGAACTACATCATTGTGTGAAGGTATTAACTCATTCATCAATTGATATGTACACTCAAAAAATAGCTTGGTAGATTTTTGCATAATTTTGAGAGGACTATCAAAGAATATAGACATAATGAATTGGTTTCTAATTATAAGTCTATTTATCTGGAGCCTGTAATGACAATTGGTCTATACAAAACTGAAGTTGAAGCTTGCAAAATTTCTACAATGAAAAATGAGATAGAAAGTGTTGCTGCATAAAATGTAGTTAAACGTTCAGAGCATAACAATTATGTAAGATTGAAGATGAATAAATTTTGCAATTCAAAGACTGAATATCTTGTTGTGTACGACAAGTTTGAGAAAAAATTACAATGTGATTGTCGACTTTTTGAAAGTTGTGGTATCCCGTATTATATTTTTTGTGC